ATAAATGATGAGAGCTCACAAGATGCTCATTTGAAAAACACTGAAGTCAATTTTGTGGAAATGTTTGAATATTAAGGATATTGAAAAATATATTAAAAGTGAAACGTATTAGGAACAGGCAAGGCTAAGAAATTAATCCAAGTGGGTGAATATATACCGAGAATAGGCATTCTGTCCATGTCCTCATTTTATTTCTATGTAATCAATATAAAAAGAGTTTTTTTATTAAAAAAAAATAATGTGCCCTGGTAGTTTTGTTTCCTAGGGAGACTTTTTTTTTTAATTTTTAAAAATAGTTTTCGAAAAGAACTGCTTAGTGGGTTTCCATTTTAATAAAACCAAATGCTGACCGATAATGAAATACTGTAGGAAAGCATAGGACTTTAACTGTTTCAGCCTCTCTTTTGCCCTCAAGAGGCCTGTTTTGGATGAGAAATTGCACGTGGCCCCTCCCAGGGGCTCTTTCTTTAACTGTAGCAGCTTCAAAGCTGGAGCAAATCTTTAGCTCTGCTCCTCTGTGGCGGAGCTGAGTCGGTCTTGCAATTGAGAGCAGAAGAACCAGGCGTTTCAACCACGGGGGATGGGTCTGAGCTGCAGAGGCAGCGTGGCTCAGTCTGCTCAGGGACACCCAGGGCACCTTTCCATCCCTCGGGACACGAGGGGTCAGCCTCAAAGCCACTGGCTCGGGGACGACTCCACACCCTCAAAAACCCCGGAGTTCCCAGTCAGCTGGGGAGGCCAGCCTGGGTGGGGCAGGAGACGTCCCCTGTCCTCCGGAGGCTCAAGGTCCGGTTGGGAGACCCAACACCCCGATGACTGTGAACAGACGCAGGTGGTATATCCCTCAGGCTTGCTGGACCTCAGAAGCTGGTGGGGTCAAGGCACAGGGGAGAGGGGGGTCACCCAGTGAGGGGAAGCATGTGGGTAAGGGCTGGGGGAAGTGGACAGGGGTCAGGACACTCCCTGCCCTGCCGTGGGGTCTCCACCTCCACCCGCCTCCTGTCCTCCACCTGTCCCCCCGGCTGCCGTTTGCCAGACTCCCAGCCCAGCTCCTCTTCCCCTGTCCCTAAGTGTAGTAGCGTCCCTCAGCTTGGTGCCACGACCTCGCCTCTGCCCCTCTACACACCCTCAAAGTCAATTCACCCACACGCTGACCCTTCCGCTCCCACTGCCGTCCAGCCAAGCCCCAGGCCCTGAACACAATTCCTGTTGACAGTCCCCACTAGAATGTTCCAGAACCTGAGATTCAACGGGCCATCTCCGAGGACAGCAGGAGACCTTCCTCATAGGATTGCTGGGAGGGTTGGTGAGGTAGCTTGCCTCAGAGCCTCGATGGCTTATCACACTTCATAGGAGCTCAATAAATGGGAGCCTGTACTATTGATTTATATTCCAAGCCCAAGTCATCTTTATCCTCAGACTGGGGACCCCCTGTTATCCCAATGTCAGCTAGTGAATGATGCCCTGTCCCGTTCCATCCCCCAAGATGGGAATCCCAGTACCTCTGAAGCCCTGCTCATCACCGCATCCGGCTGACGACCACTCGCACGGGTTCCGCCTTTGAGACCCCTTTCAAGTCCCTCCCTCCTTTGCCATTCCCGTTATCCTGGCTTAGTCCACTCCCCCTTACTGGGTTTTGTGGGCCTGTGTGGGTCACATTTCATGTGCGTGGGAAACCCCCAGGGATCTTGTGAAAATGTGGGCCATCCTGTGGTACCTGAGACGCTGCGTCCCCAGTGAGCAGCCCGGGGATGCCCATACCCCCAACCACTCTGGGGCAGCAGAGGCTGATGCTCTGTCTCTTGTGGCTCCTGACCGGCTTCCAGGGCTCCCTCTGGAAACTTCCGTGGCAGCTCGTTGCCCACAGCCACGATTGTCACCTGTGGTCCCTAGAAAACCCGTTGCTCCCCCTGTATTTGGATGTCATGCATCTGGCGTCCAGCCCAGGAGTCGGCATCTTTTTATCATGCCCTCGAGTGGTCCTAGTAAGGTAGGTTGTGATGGGAAAGGAGCCTGTAACACCAAACTAAACTCTTGAACATGACATTCAGGGCCTTCTCGACGCGGTCCTGGGTGGGTCGAGTCATCGCTTCATCACTTCCTTCCTGGGCACCGTGGCCGCACGTCTCTGGAACGCTGGGGTCCCGGGGGAGCTGTGTTGCGCCGTCTTCCCAGCTCCATGCAGCTGCGTTAGGGCAGGATCATGTTCGTCTCTGCAGCTCCAGGGCCTGGCAGCCTGCCCGCTCCAGACCAGGTGCCCGACAAAGAGTCCTAAAAAGGCATCAAATGGAGGAAAAAGGTCATTCTAATCAACAGATAGCTGGTTGACTTTGGACAGGAGTAAAAACCAAGGCTGCTTTGTTGGAGACGATTTTGATAATCTCAGTTCTGACATCCCACATGTTTTCTGCCCACAGTACTTAACGTTTAATAGGTTCGGTACAAACCCTTCAAATTCACGGTGGATTTAATGGTGATGTCAAGGATTAGTTTTGCACGGATTCGTGTCCGTGCTTACTGGTGGCTTGCACCAACCCTTTGAGGGTGAAGAGCCAGGGACGTTGTCATCGGCCTGGAAAATAAAAATGCCGCAATCAAGGGGGTTTGAAGTCTGCAAAGTTCAGTGCCCTCTGCTGGCCGTAGCGGGCAGATTTGCCCGCCGCTCCGGGGACGCGACCGACCCCAAGGTGTCTGCCCTGTGAAGAGATGGCTTTGGTCTGGCTCGAAAGTGTCAGCTTTCTCTTAGATCATTGAGCATTTGGAGAGGAGGGTTTTGAGTTAATGCACGTAACAAGAAAAATGAGTTAATGCTTCAACTAGGAGGCCCGCATCTGAGTTCTAATAAACCAATTAATACCTCCTAATTGATTACTCTGCAGTTTATTCAACTCCGTCAAAGCTTTGTTCAAGAACACATTCTTAAAAAAAAAAAAAAAAAAAAAAAGAACACATTCTGGGGGAATCCCTGGGTGGTGCAGTGGTTTAGCACCTGCCTTCAGCCCAGGGCGCGATCCTGGAGTCCCAGGATCGAGTCCCGCATCGGGCTCCCGGCATGGAGCCTGCTTCTCCCTCTGCCTGTGTCTCTGCCTCTTTCTCTCTCTCTATGTCTATCATGAATAAATAAATAGATCTTAAAAAAAAAACCACACACACACATTCTGCTTAATGCAGCCGGTGCAGAGCTGCCCTTCCGGGCTGGAGGGCTTCCGGCTCTGTCGGTCCTGGGTTCAAATTACGCCTCTTCCATCCCCTCTGACTGGACTTTGGGCCAGTTCCTCTTCCTCGTGGGGCTCAGCTTCTCAGTCCTGGAGGGTTAGTGTGAGGGCGATGCCCACAGGAAGGCCTGGCCGTGGCAGATGCTCACGATGCTCACGGGACACGAGCTGTTGTGTGTGTGCGTGTGGCTCACTTTGAGAGTCTAAAATGTACTTGGGACATGAACACGAGGGAAAGAGGTGAAAGCCTTGATTGTGGCTATCACAGTCGTCCTGGGATAGCTGTAGGCTCAGGATGGCTCCGTTTCAGCAGCGGTGGTTGCTGGAACATGATGTTTTTTTTTTTTTTTTGGTGCCAGTTCAGATGTCTTCTCTAATTACAAGCGACCAGTGTTTCTGGGCCTCGGTGCATTCATACGCCTCAGCGAGGCTTTTTGCAGGAAAGTGCTGTCTGAGCGGACAGGCACCCCGGCTGACCACAGAGTGGGAAATGCAGGAGGGAGGGAGCCCACAGCTCAACCGCACGCATCCTCACCACCACATCTCCCTCGGCTCTGCAGCCACCCACCTTCTCCTGTGGCCAGTCCTCTTCTACACCACCCAGAGATCAATGCCACGTTTTCTGAGGGTCTAAGGTTATTTTGGCAAAACGGTGCACCGAGTGGGGATCTGAGGTGGCCCTTGCAGGTCTGGGTGAAAGAGCCTTTTCCTATGTTGAACCGCACTGCAATCCGGTTTTGCTCGGTGCATTCACCCACCCACCCAATAAAGACTTCCTCTGACAGTGTCCACGTGGCTCTGTTAGAAACGTGCTGATGGTGGCCCCTCCTGGGAGAGGTGGGGGCTTCCCTCTGCCTCACCTGAGAGCTCAGACAGGAGGCAAGGTGACCCCCCACCCCCACCCTGGAACCATGCAGGAAGTTCGAGAGAGCAACAGGCAGAGTGGGTGGCTCCGAGGAACACTCGGTCCTGGGCCAGCCTGCCTGTGCCCGTTCTCACTGTTAATGTCTCAGGCCTGGGAGGACCGGGCTGGCCTTTGAAAGGTCCATCAGGCTCCAGAGTGTGGGAAAGGCAGAGGGTCCAGGGCTGGACACACAGGGACCTGCTCCTGTAGCTCGGGTGGGAGGCAGTGAAGACCTGCACTCAGGGTAAGGGCTGTGGTGCAGGTTGTGGTCATGGCCAGGGGGACAGGGGAGGTGGACCCCACACAGATGGGCTGGGCTCCCCCTCCCTGGCCCCCTACTCTGTGACCACATGGGCCTGCGCTTCTTCCCAAGGGGGCTGCGCTTCTCTGGGTGTCACCATGCAGAATAGAAATGCTGCACCTGTGTGTACACCGTGTGGCATGGCACCCCAGACCCTGTAGAATGTACCCGAAATGTGGACCAAATCATTACCGTGTGGCAATCTAGAGGCCATGCGAAGGACCTCGCTGAGGCTCTGTGGAGCTGCCTCCCAGAATCTTCCATCTCCTGGTATTTTCAGACTTCACCCTCCCCGGACACCTGCACATCCCTGCCCACCTCCCCTCTCCCTGCAAAACGAGGCAAGCAAACAAGAAAGGAAGTGCACCCCAGTGGCACGAGCTTTTACAACCTGGGAATAGTTGAGGGGGTTGCTCACCCGGCTCAGTGGCCCACAGGCCCGGCTCCCTAGCCCAGATCCACAAGGCAACACTCGGAAGGAGGCCCACCGGCACCTGCCCGCCCGGTTCCCCGCCTGTTGCCCTTCTCCGTGGAGGGTGCGCGGTGGGGAGTCCTCTGAGCCTGTCCCCGCTTTTTGCAGGTTCGCCATGGAGCCCATCTGTCCGCTCCTGCTGGCGGGTGTTAGCTTGCCGCTCGCCAGGGCGCTCAAGGGCAACGAGACCACCCCGGCCTACAGCAACTGGACCTCTACGACCTCAGGTGAGGACCCGGCCACCTGCCCCCCCCCCAGGAGGCTGTCTGGGCTGAGATGACGAGACTGGCGGGGGTGGAGGGGGGCACAGTGAGGCTGACTCCCCTAGCGGTTGAGCACAGCAGCTCGCAGGTGACGCCTGCCCCACAAGCCAGCTCTTGGCAGTTTGACCAGGACAAAACTTAGGGTTCGGAGGGCAGTAAAGGCAGCCCTGCGCTGAGAGCCGGCGTCCGCTTCGGTGGGAGGCAGGAGAGCAGGGGTTCATGGCCCCCCCACCCCGCAGGCCCCCTGTGGGAGGCCGATTCAGACCACCCTGGAGGAGCACTGCTGAGTCCATAGGGGATATTGATACACAGTTGGCGCGATCAAGAAATGAGTATTAATATTCTTAGATATTAGGGTCGTGGTCAGATTTATACTTTTAAAAGAAGAGTCCTTACTTTTTAGAGGTGCATTTTGAAGTCCTTATGAGTGAGACCACACGAGCCCTAGGGATGACTTGAGAATGAGCAAGTGGGGAGCGGGCGGTGGGCGGGCCATAGACCCAACACGGCCCCTTGTCCTGATCAGAAGGATGGGTGGCAGGTATGGGGGGCTCGTTGCTCTCTTCTCCTGCCTTTTCCATGTATTTTTAAAAGATTTTATTTATTTACTCATGACAGACACAGAGGGGCAGAGACACAGGCAGAGGGAGAAGCAGGCTCCCTGCAGAGAGCCTGATGTGGGGTGAAGGCAGGCGCTCAACCACTGAGCCCCCCAGCCGTCCCCTTTTCCATATTTTGAAAGTTAGGGATAAGGAAGAGTGAACGGGCACCTGTGACAACGTGGGTGAACCCCAGAAACACGCTAAGTGGAAGAAGCCAGACACGAGACACGTGGTGCGTGGCTCCGTTGAGGGGAAATGCCCGGAATAGACCAGGTGATGGAGGAGGAAGGACACGAGCGCTTGGGTGGGCGGGGAGGCGGGGGGACGGGGGTGGCCAACGCAGAGTGACCGCAGATGGGCGCCAGGTGGATGGGAATGTCCTGAGACGCTGTGGCGGCGGTGGCACAACTGTGCAAATTAGCTAAAAATCATTGAATCATATGCTTCAAACGGGTGAGTTTGTAGTATGTAAATTTTACATCAATGAAATGCAATAAAGGCCGCGCAAACTGAAAGGAAGAGGAGGAGGGAGGGGGAGAAGGAGCAGCGGGAGCGGATGCTCTGGCGTCACGCGGCCCGTGTGTGTGCAGTCCCAGCGCTGCGCTTACTGGCCGCTGAGTGACCTGGAGCACGTTCCTAAAAAAAAATCTCTTTGTGCCTCAGTATCCCCATGTGTGAGACGGAGGTAATGATAGTGCCCACTGCTCGGCAGTGCTGTGAGGATGAAAGAGGCAGCCGAGCTGGGTGCAGGAGCTCGTCCACGTGGGCCGCTGCTGTAGTTGGCAGGAGAAGGCATCAGAGGAGGCCCGGCCCCCAGCCCGTCTCTGACTGCCCAGAAAGTTGGCTCTTCAGGGTCCCTTGATGTCTCCTTCTTGGATGTGAGCCCAACACAGACAGAAACCCGACTGGAGACTTCAGGGTCCCCAAGGACTGGAGGCGGATTCCCTGGGCAACCCCACACCTCCCTGGCAGCCTGGAGGCCTGCCTGTGGCAGCCAGCTCTGTCCATGGCCAGGGCGGCAAGAGCCTATAACCAGCAGGCCTGGTCCCCCCCACCCCCCGCCGAGCGTGCATCGGGGCCTCGTGCCAGTGCCCACATGCCTGCCCCATCCCCTTCCCTCTCCGTCCCTCCGAGACTCCAAGGCATAAAACTCAGGGACTTCTCTGATAGGGTATCCCTTGGCGAATTGGTTCGTGTTCTCCGAAGAAACGGGATCCGTTATGTATTTATATTTTCATTTACATCTATACTCGTATCTATATTTATATTTATGACAAGGAATTGGGTCACACGATTGTGGAGGTTGTCCGGTCCAAAATATGCAGAGCCAGTGTCCCAGTTTGAGTTTGAAGGCTGGCAGGCGGCTACAGAACCCGAAAGAGCGATGTCCCAGTTGGAAGGCAATCAGGCGGGAAGACTTCCCTGTTACTCACAGAAGGCTCAGCCCTTTTGTTCTGTGCAGGCCTTCAACTGATTGGACGAGGCTCACCCACAGTGAGGGGAGGGAGACGAGTGTAATCTTCTTCTCTGAGACCCCCAGTTTGAACGCTCAATCTCACCCAGAAAGCACCCCCTGGAAACCCCCAGAACGATGTCTGACCAAACATCTGGCAGCTCGCGGCCCACACACATACACACACAAATTGAGCATCGCGCTTGCTCATCACAAGGCCTCGGGAGAGCAAAAACTATCAATTTCCCTCTGGAAGAAGCAGCTTGGGCGAGGTGATTGGAGGTGGCACTGTTCCGGCGGGGGTCAGGGGTTCAGCCCCCATCCAGCTCAAGAGCTTTACGTGATCTCCTAACCCCGGACAAAGGTCGTACAAACTCATCTTAAGTGGCATCCGTGGATGCCAGCCGCCAGCAAGGAGAGGCACTGTCCTCGTGCTGAAAGCCAGAGGAGTCCAAAACCTCAAAAAAAAAGGAGACAGAAGCCCCCAGCACCCGGAAACTGCCGTTTGTTGTGTTGCCTCATTTCCAGCAGGCGTCGGGATGCGAGGCCACTGGCGGGACTGCACAGCCTGGGACCCTCCGGACCTGCCCCGAGGACCGTGTGTCCCCGTGCCCGGCGGGGAGGAGCTGGCTGCTCGAGGCCCGGCAGCCGCAGAAGCGCGTAGTAACCGCAACAACGCATGTGCCGGAGAAGCGACGATGGAGCTGCGTGGGCTCTCCTGCAGATGGCACCCAGGGCACCAGCAGGGTGACCCAGCGCCCTCCGGGGCCTCGTTGGTTCACTTGAACATGAGATGATTGGCTCACAAGGTGGCTGTGGGTGTCAGGTGTTCCCTCATGAGGAGGGACTGTCGTGTGACCTCGTGCCCGTCGGAACGGATGTGACGCTCACAGCTCCTTGCAGCTTCTGCTGCGGCCTTCACGGTCTTGGCATCGGTCGCTGGTCACACACCAGGAGGGAAGTCGACCCTGGCTCCACTTCAAGATCTCGATGATACCACGTGGACAGGCTCCGTGGACCTAGAATTCCAGGGGGGATCCTAGGACTCTGCTCCCTGAAAGACGGATCATTCTGGATGACCACGGCACATTGGCACAGTGCACGGGATAGCCAAAAATTACCGTTTTGTTTGTTCTCAGCAAGAGACATTTCTTTACGCAGGAGCTGAAGGTGAATATTCCCAAACAGCGTAGCCAGATGTGACGGTCCATATTACAGGAAGGATTCCTAAAAACGAATAAGCAAAAAGGCAATGCAGGAAAACGTGGAGGATATGACCAAGCCCAGTGCAAATACCGAATTGATGATGTTTTATTAATCATCGGATGATGCTTAACTCTATAGAAATTAGGGAAGCGCAAATTATTTTTTTAAAGATTTTATTTATTCATAGACAGAGAGAGAGAGTGAGAGAGGCAGAGACACAGGCAGAGGGAGAAGCAGGCTCCATGCACCGGGAGCCCGACGTGGGACCCGATCCCGGGTCTCCAGGATCACACCCCGGGCTGCAGGCAGTGCCAAACCGCTGCGCCACTGGGGCTGCCCGGGAAGTGCAAATTAAAGTGGTTTTATTTTCCTTATCCAATTGATGAAAATTAAAAGGGTGGCTAATAGGCAGGAGACATTGTCTCCAAACCCCAGTCTGGGTGAGCGTGGAAGCTGGAAAGTTTGCCAGTGGCCACGTGGCAGTTTCTGTTACCATTTACGGTGTGTGCACACCGATGCACAGGGTCCCGTTCTCGGAGTGCCCTACGGACGCACTTTCAAGGTACACAGAGATCAAAGATACCAGATGTAAAATTGTAGGTAACAGCCCCAAAGTTGGAAACAACCTAAATGTCCATGGAAATTTTGGGTTATTCACAAAGTGGAAGTGCAAGCAGCAGTTCAACGAAACGGAGAGGCTCGTGTGTGCCCGTGCGGGAGCTTTCCAAGACACAGACCGAACGAGAAAGACGAGCCACAGAGCTGCCCTGATGGCCTATGTCACCCGTTTTTTGTTTTTTTCCACGTTTCGCTTGGCCCCCTCGGGCGACATAGCCTGCAGAGGCCTTTCCTGGATCATTTTGTTTTTTATTTTATTTGTTTGAAGATTTTATTTATTAATTCATGAGAGACATAGAGAGAGAGCGAGACAGAGACACACAGGCAGAGGGAGAAGCAGGCTCCATGCGGGAAGCCTGACATGGGACTAGATCCCGGGACTCCAGGATCACGCCCTGGGCAGAAGGCAGGCGCCAGACTGCTGAGCCACCCGGGGATCCCTCATTGTGTTTTTTAAATTTGCACTTAGGTTGAATTACTTATCTGTATTTAAAAATCAGATGATTTTGGGGTGAAAATATGAATTTCTTCTTTTGGCACGCTGGAAGGACTGGACAGTGGGGAGGGGGCCCACCTTCCTCTGGACCCCACTGGGGCCGCCCCCACCTGCAGGCAGGGCACGGATGCCCCAGCTCTCCAGCCCCCGCCAGGCCTGTGGACTCCTGAGTGCTCCTAGCCCATCTCTGCCCTCCAGACAGAGGCAGCGGCTGGCATTGTCCTTGTGATCTGCGCTTTCTGCCCCTGAGTACAGCCCCTTCCCCCACTACACACACACTCTGAGGCCATCGGTCATTCTGCCTTGGTCCTCGAGGAGACACCCACTTCTGTAACTGTAGTCTTTACTGCCGGGAGGCTGGGCCCTGGAGCCTCCTGACAACACCCCCCAGGGAGGGGCTGTCTGGGGTCCGGGTACCCTACAAAGCTCCAGCTCAGGCCCACGGCCCTCCCTCCGCCAGGGCCACCCAGCCCTTGGACCCACAAGGGACCCACAAGCTAGGCAGTCAAGTCACTGCCAAGATAGTCGCTGAGCTGGGGCAGCCTGACCTCTGTGCAAATGCAGAAGTAGGGACACAAGGGCACCCAACTGTGCTCTGTAGTTGCACCTGGCAGGGTGGTGATGGAGCCTAGTCTGGGTGTGGGACACCTGGCCCTCTCTGAGGCTGGGCCCAGCTCTGCCCCTTGGGTGTCAGGCATCTCCCCCATTAGCCTGGGCTTGAGTTTGCTCCAAGACCCTGGTAGTGCAGGGAGGGTACCCCCTGGATGGGCAAGTGTGGAAGCCTCAGGCCAGGGCAGCTCCCCAGGGCAGCTCTGCAGCAGGTAGGGCCAGGGGAGATGGCCTGGGGCACCCGCCCAGAGTGGTTCAGCCGGCTGTCACCCTGGCTTTGTCGTATGGCTCAGCTTGGGAGGTCACTAGCCAGGTGGGAGAGGCATTGGCCTAGCCTGGAATGAGGGTGTCTTGTTGGTTGTCCAGGCTGATGGTGGCCACGGCCACCTTCTCATCACAGACCAGCCATCGCTCCGTGCCCTTCTACATCAAGGGGTCACTCGAGTCAGTAAAATGTTGTCATTTATTAGAACTACGTGCATACACCCACGTACAGGGTGCGGGAGTCGGCATGAGGCCCTGGAGGGGGAGGGTGCTTATAACCCGGGACATGAGATGCAGATAAAGATCTTTAGAATACTCAGGGCGGGGGGCAGTGCCGGGGGCGGGAAGCTGCAGGACTGCTGTGTCCCTGCTGGGCTCAAGTCCCTGCTTGGTGCTCCTGTGAACTCAAAGCTATGGAAGTCCTGTTGTTGCCTTTGAGGGGCTTCCACTGAATCAGACTGAAGACGGTCACCGCCAGAGCCTGTTCACTCCAGGAGAGTAGAGTCTGTGCTTCGGGGCACACAGGGACCCTCTGGGATCCACAGGAGGGGAGCCAAGTGGGCTTCCTGGAGCATGTGGCATTTGCCATGCTCCCTGGGGACAAGGACATTTTGGTGAGGAGAGGGCAGCATGGCAGGCTGGGGAGGCAGGGACCAAGTTAGAACATCGGGGGGGGGGTGCGGCCAGGCCACCAGAGCCCCTCAGCATCTGGGCTTACGGGCCAGGTCTTGGGCAGCCACAGGGCAGCAGCAGCTCTTGGTCCAAGGATGTGGGACCTTCTGAATGAGGAAGGTCAACCTGGACCAGTAGGACTCTGGGCTTGAAGCTCCCAGAAGACCTGATCATGGCACGGCCAAGGACCTCCACCCGGCCCAATGGCCAGGCTGCACCCCCGTGCCCTGAGCTCCTGCCCAAGGTCCCTGATGCTCTCCACGCTGTCCTCACACAGAATAGCCAACCCTCTACCCTCGTCCATCTCCCCAGGATGGGGAGAGGCAGGCGCCCCAGGACCCCGGGGCGACAGGTTATGTGAGGGTGAGGGGCTCCCATTGTGCCTCCACTGTCCCTCCTCAGCTCAGGCTCCCTGCCCTGTGTCAACGCTACTCATCTCTTATGGGGTGAGCACGGTGGACCTGGACGGGGGGCTGGTCTGCAGACTGTAAAGTGAGGCGCCGAGGAAGGCGGTTCCGCTCTAAGGGAGGACGTCCTGATGGGATGGAGGGGCAACTCATTTGCAAACTGTAGAGTGAGTCTGGCACCGGGGATCTTTCCCTGCCTGTCCTCTGAGTCCTTGCCTCGGGTCCCCTGTGGCACTGGGGACCCCTTCTGCCCGCAGGCCCTCCGGACCCCGGCGCGCCCCAGCCCCAGCTGGCCTGGCTGCTGTTGCCTCTGCTGCTCTGCGTCCTCCTTCTGCTTCTCGCCGCCTACTTCTTCAGGTAGGAGTGTCCCCGGGGCGCAGGCGGACGTGCCCCGACCAGCCTCGAAGAGGAAATGAGCTCCTCGAGGCTGCGCTGCGGGTGTGGGCCCAGGCGGAGGGCGGCGGGGCTGGGGACCGGAGGCGCCGGGCACCCGCGAGGAGGGCCCAGCCATGAGCAGCAGGAAGAGCTTCTCCAGGCTCACCTGGTGGGTATCGCCACGCCAGGGCCGCGCTCCCGGGGGTGTCCCTGTGCCCCCCGCTAACCGGTCTGTCCCCCCAAGGTTCAGGAAGCAGAGGAAAGCCGTGGTCAGCGCCAATGACAAGAAGATGCCCAACGGAATCCTGGAAGAGCAAGGTACCCGGGAAGGGGCAGGTGCTGGGGGGCTACTGGGGGCTGGGGGACAGCCTGGAGGTACTGGGGGGCTTCTGGGGACTAAGGGACTGCCTGGGGGTGCTGGGGGGCTGCTGGGGGCTGGGGGGCAGCCTGGAGGTACTGGGGGGCTTCTGGGGACTAAGGGACTGCCTGGGGGTGCTGGGGGGCTGCTGGGGGCTGGGGGGCAGCCTGGGGATGCTGAGGGCCTGCTGGGAGCTGGGGGGCAGCCTGGGGGTGCTGGGGGGCTGCTGGGGCCTGGGGGCAGCCTGGGGGTGCTGGGGGGGCTGCTGAGGTCTGGGGGCAGCCTGGGGGTGCTGAGAGCCTGCTGGGGGCTGGGGGGGGTTCTGGGGGGGCTGTTGGGGGGCTAGGGGACAGCCTAGGGGTGCTGGGGGGCTGCTGGGGGCTGGGGGCTGCTGGGGGCTGGGGCCAGCCTCAGGGTGCTGAGGGCCTGTTGGGGGCTGGGGGGGTGCTGGGGTGCTGAGGGCCTGCTGGGGGCTGGGGGGCTGCTGGGGTGCTGAGGGGCTGCTGGGGTCTGGGGCACAGCCTGGGTGTGCTGGGGGGCTGCTGGGGGCTGGAGGGGCTGGAGGGGGGAGATTGGCCCTTTCTGACCACGTCGGGGGCTCTTGTCTGCCTTTTATTTTAAATTATGTTAAAGTCCTTCTCGTTTGCGACTTTGGTCTTGCTTTGCTGGGGATGATGCTAAGCATTCAGGACGGTAGAGTCTTACGGTTTCGGGACTTTTCTCCACTTCTCTCTGATGTGAAACAGACACTGAGGCCTTCAGTTTGTGGCTTTGTTGGAAACGCTGTTCACATCCTGTCTTTTCTACGGGGTCGTGGCATGTAACAGGTTTCAGGGAGCCCTTCGGAGCCGTTCTGATGACACAGCCTGGGTCCTACTGGCAAGGGCTCCCAGGGCTCCCCTGAAATTCCCGCTGTTGGCGGACCTTGATGCAAAGGGGGAGCTAGGCCGCCAGCGTGTGTGGCGGGGCTGGTCGCAGCCGGCGGAGGGCATTCCCGACCCTTCTTTCCGGCTCCCTGAGTTCGGTCGGGAAAGTGTTCAAGCTACGTACGCGGCGCATTGTTCCTCCCTCACCCTCAACACGTCCAGATGGCTGAGCGGGTTGTGGGGTTGTGCGAGGCAGAGGCTTTCAGAAGTATTGGTTCACACCAGTGACGCTGACTTCCTCTGGTCGCTGGCTACCTAATTGTTCCACGGTTTGAGGGAACAAACCTGCTTTCAGACTTCACACAGATTGCAAAACTAGCAGCAGCGAGGACCAGGACGGGGGGGGGGGGGGGCGGATGCTGCTGGTGGTCCCGGCACCTTATTAGGTGCCAGCGTGGTGTCCGGGTGTCACCCTCCTGCCCCCTCTCTCCCTGCCCTGCACGGAGGGAGGCAGGTGTGGCCGGCCAGACCCAGAGGCCCCGCCAGGCCCCCTCTGGCACATCTTCTTGGGGAGGAATGAGCCCTGGGAGGCGTTCCTGGCTGGGCTTCAGAACAGTGCTGCAGGTGGGGACAGGCCCTTGGCAAACGTGACAGCAGAGTTGTTGTGCTGACCCCGTCGAGAATATCAGCGCATTTCCCAGGAAGACAAGCACATGCCAAGGATTTCTCCTTTTGTCTCTGGCTCAGTTTCTGGAAGGAATTTGTGCCGGGAACCTCCCTGCAGCCAGCCCCTCCCCACGCCTCCCTGCCGGCTCCTCGCAGAACAAGGATGGTGTTTGTCTTATTTCTGCTGGAGCTTATGGGGTTTGAGCGACCGGGGCTGTGTGTCATGAGGATGACGAGGCTGAGGGAGGCTCACGTCCTAGCCGATTCCCGGTCCGTTCCCAGCTTGAGCCGAAACCATTCTTCTGTATTTATTACCAGAGAATCACGCCCCCTGTTTCAAATTTGGAAAATTGAACTGCAGTGTGAAGCTGCCCAAATCCTTTATGGGAAGAGCAGGGGCTGGGGTGGGGGTGCCAAGATGGGACATCTGCGGTTGGTGGAAGCAGGTCACACCGACCAGAGGGACGCCCCTGCCTGTAAAGGGCGAGGCTGTATTATGGGGGACAGACCTCTGTGCTCCGGTGCTCAGGGCGCCCGCTTGGCCCCGGCTGCATGACCCGAGAGGAATGCGCCCCCCTCCAGCCGTGTCCTTCCTCCAGGAGCGCTGTCCATCGTCCGGGAGTATGGCTGAGTGGCCTCCCACCCCTGTCTCTTTTGATCCCACAGAGCAGCAAAGAGTGATGCTTCTCAGCAGGTCCCCCTCCGGGCCCAAGAAGTACTTTCCCATCCCCGTGGCGCACCTGGAGGAAGAGATCCGCGTCCGGTCGGCGGATGACTGCAAGCGCTTTCGGGAGGAGTTCAACGTGAGTGGGGAGGGTCCTCTGTCTCGTGGTGTGCTGGAAAAACTGGGACAGATGTCAGGGGAGATCGTCCCAGAGACTGGGAACTCTTGCACCGGTGGTGACGCTGTTCCAGAAGCGGGTTTCTGGAGACCTGGCTTCTGCGGCAGCGCCCCTACCCCCCCTCATTGTTCCATCATCAGATGAGATGCTTGAGTGTGATGGTCCCGAAGGCTCCTTCCAGCGCAGACACTGTGAGGGCCATGTCCTGAGGGCTAGTGGGATGGAAACACGGCTGTCTCGCTAAGGTGGAAGACCAGGGCCCCAGCAGGTGGCAGGGTGACAGTTCCACGTTCAAAGCCGTGGTGCCCCCGGCCCTCCTCTAGTAGGCTTCCAAGGGCTTGGGCACCTCCCTGGCATGGGAAGGGTCCCCCTTCCGAGCCATCCTCAGAATGTGAATTAAGCAACCATGGGGGCTGCCTGGAGGGGTCGCTAGCTCTTGCCTCCGAGATCCCTATGGTTGGATGTGCACCCCAGCTTCTCCTTGTCTTCATCCTGCTCCTACTTTCTGGGTGAATTGCCGCCTTCTGGGTGAACTTTGCGACAGCGGCCGCTAACTGGGGTGGCTTTACCCGGTCGGGACAGTCCCCATGCTGCAGACTGATTGTCCTGGCCCTCGACAAGAAATACCAACGTGCATCCGTGACCCCTCTTCTTGTGTTGCTCATTTTACATGCAACGTCCTGTGACTCTTGAATATGTCAGAGGGAGAGCGAGACAGAGGGAGAGAGAGATAGAGAGAGAGAGAGAGAGAGAGAGAGAGAGAGAGAGAGAGAGAGCTGCTCAGAGCTTATCCCTGACCACAGCCTGAGTTTTGCCTCATGCAGTTTCCTCATTTCATGCACAGCCATGTGCCAAGTGTGAGCTGGAAAGAGGAGTTGCGAGCTGACCAGGCCCAGCCCAGCCTGCAACTCCCCGGCTGTGGCACGCAGGTCCCCAGAGCCAGCCAGCTGGCCTCCACCACCCTGGGGGGCGGCTCAGGGAGCGGGCCTGTCTCGGGGACCCTCCAGCTCCACATGAGGCTCAGACAGCGGCTTCGTGAACAGCACGTGCTGTCCAGTTTTACGTGCAGGTGGGACCATGGCAGAGGGAGGGCTTTTCACGAGGAAGCGTCGCGGGGGGCCATGGGAGGTGACACTGCACGTTGACTGTACTTGGCTTATTTTTTTTAACGCCAGCCTCCTCGGCCTTTAGCCTGCTTCCTTTTAATTGTTTCCAAATGTGTCCCCCACCACCTTCCTTTCTTTTTATTTTGGAGAAATTAGGTCATATCGAAAGACAGCTCTAAGCAGTATTGTTTTGCAATCTGTCAGCTGCACAAGAGAAGTTAGTTCTCCGTATTCAGAATAACCACCCAAGTTTGCAGCAACGTGATTTTTCCTCCTCCTGTCTTGTCCCATTTCCCCTTCACTGTGTTTCTCCGCGCCGGAGGGGGTGGCTGACCTTGCCAGGCGGAGAGCCGTGAGTCAGAGCCAGCTGGCTTCGCTGCCGGCTCAGGTCCCGGCCGTGAGGGTGACTCCAGCGGAGCAGGGCCAGAAATAGGGTCGCGCAGGTGAGGCAGCGGCCCCGGGCGCACAAAGACCTCAGTTCGTCAGGGTTAATGCTATCTTAATGCAACAAGCAGATCTATCAGAATTAACGCACACAAATCCATGCTGAACGAAATAGCAGAATCGTAAAAAAAGACAAGATCACGCCGACCAATTTCTGCTGTGGTCCCAGGCTCCGACAACATGGCTTGTCACTGCGCGGTCACCCATCCTGTCATTCTTTAAAAGTTTCATGTTTTGGTCATCATCTTTTTTTTTTTTTTTTTTTTTTTTTTTTTTTTTTTTTTTTTGCTCTGCTTAAGACTTTTTTAAAAAAAATTAAGAATGAAACGTTGCATTTGAACCCATCCTGTCATTCTTTAAAAGTTCGTGTTTTGGTCATCGTCGATTTTTTTTTGCTTTGCTTTTGACTTTCCTTAAAAAAAAATTTAAAAATGAAACGTTGCATTTGAACCCATCCTGTCATTCTTTAAAAGTTCCGTGTTTTGGTCATCGTCAATTTTTTTTTTTTGCTTTGCTTTTGACTTTTCTTTAAAAAAAAATTAAAAATAAAACGTTGCATTTGAACCCATCACGTCATTCTTTAAAAGTTCCATGTTTTAGTCATCGTCAATTTTTTTTTGCTTTGCTTGTGACTTTTCTTAAAAAAAAAAATTTAAAAATGAAACGTTGGCGTTTGAACCCATCCCATCATTCTTTAGAAGTTCTGTGTTTTTGTGCTTTGGTCATCATCGATTTTTTTCTTTTCTTTCTTTTTCTTTTTTTGCTTTGCTCTTGACTTTTTTAAAAAAATTTAAAAACGAAATATTGCATTTGAATATTATTCTACCTTGATTTCTGAGGGTTTTGGGCACGACTTTAAATTGGATGCCTGACTCTTCCCGCCCTGCCCGGCCCCTGCTCTTGAGCGCCTCCCCAGTGGCCTGCTGCCGTGCTCTGTGCCATGCAGGGTGGGTAGATATGCAGAGGGGAGGAGGCCGGGTCCTGACGCGGCACCCGGGACAAGCTGCTTGTACTCTCTGGACTCCGGTGTGCTCCTCTCACCGGTGAGAGCTGGACGTGTCCTACGCCAGGTTCGTGTTGTTGTAAGAGCGCTGGAGCCTGCTAGGACCGGCCCACTCCTGGCTCTGCAGATGCAGATGACCCCACTTGGGATGGGCCACTGTACCGCTTCTCCTCACCCACTGTCCTGAGTTCCAGTCCCAGAAACTGTAAAAGGAATAGACGAGTCACAACATAGTCCATCCAGACGGGGTTGGAGATGTGTGTATTGCCCATCCAGGGCTTCCGTGGACTGGAAGGGTTTGGTGCTGGGCTCAGTGGAGTGGTCAAGGTGCGAGTGCTGGATTTGGCCCTCCTGTGTGCTGCCCCGCTTGTCTCTTACCAGCCTGGAGAGCTTGGGCCATTTACTTAACCTCTGCCTGCCTCAATTTACTCACCTATAAAATAAGGACACTACTGCCATAGGATTGTCCCAACGTGTGCAAGAGAGAGATGCGTGCCTGGCTCAGCGTAGTGTCTGCACGAGAGGTGTCTGGGCTGCTGTGCTTTTTAGGACTACTCCTGGGAACATCCAATCCCAGTCTCCACGCTGCAGTGATCGAGCCCTAGCCCAGCAAAGTCTGTTCCAGGCCCCCAGTTAAACCCCAGCGAGTGAGTGCCACACAGGCCAGGAACACCCCACCTCCCCAGACAGACTCTTCCCAGGCTCCAAGCCCGGGCCTGGATCCAGCCCTGTCACTCATGTTGTAGAAAGGCGCAGGGGAGGTGCTGCCGGGAGAGGTCCCGACACAGCATGCAAGCCAGGAACAGCCCACACCTGGCTCCTCTCTGTCCTTCTCATTGTGCTACCCCCTGCCCAGCACTGCAAAGCGGGGAGGAAGCAGTAGGGACATGACGTGTGGCTCCACTCTGTGTGTCCACTGACACGAGAGCTCACCTCAAGCGAGCAAGCACACGGGCAAACCCTCTTCGGCCAACGTATGTGATTGGACGATCACTCACAAGGTGTTTATGACCAATTACGACGTGCATGGCTCTCGCCCGGGACGGCAGGGGTGACCCGGTGACAGCAGAGCCCTCCCCGGGGGCTGTCCCATATCCCCTGTGTCATCTGAGTGGTCATCTGCAGGCACTTTGCCTCTCACACCGAGTGACCCTCTGTGCCACCCGCGGAGCCAGTGTCACCATCCCAGCTCCATATTCTGGGTCTCAAGCTGCTGCCAGGGGAGGGGGTGACAGGGCTAAGTCCATCCTTGCCACCTAGACCCCTCCAGCCTCTCCACCCACCATGCTGTAGCCACCCTGCCCTCTGAGGAAGGGGGAGGCTTCTCTTTTTCTTCTTAATTTTTTATTTGTATAGACTTTTCATTTTTCGAGCAGTTTTAGGCTCACGGAAAAACAGTGCATGGAGTACAGGGTTCCCACGTACCCTACTCCTCCCTGCACACAGGTTCCCCAATTATCCACGTGACTGTCACTAACGTGCATTCCAATTAATAACTAATATTGATCTTTTGTCACCATTTGAAAGCCAGAGCTGGGGTTCCTGTGTCAGACATTGTGTGGGTTTTGGTGAACACCTGACATCGTGCATCCACCGTTACGGTGTTATACCTCATTTTTATTTTCAGGGCTGAGGTCTAAAAAGCTTTTGGGTCTAGAAAATGAGAAGCCTGTAGAATGCGATCTCAGATTCTCTGTCTAGGTCAGAGTGTGTTGGTCTCCAGGTACCCAGCAGGCTGGCCTCCACCCCGGCCCTGGCGAGGCCTCTGCCTTGTGCCAGTTTGGTGGCCCCAAAACAAGAGAAGGATGACACTGGCTGGCGGGGGTTCAGTGTGTGATGGAGAAGTCCTCCGACCTGGGCGAGGGGTCTCCGGGCACCCGTACGTGGCAAGCCCAGCCTTTCTGACTCACGGTGGGAATGAGCCTAGGGCCTCGGCTGCACTGTGAGAACTGCCCCCGTCTCCCAGGGACTTTACACTTGAAGACGTGAGCACCCTACTCGTGGCCTAGTGCCAGCTCCAGGCCACACAGCCGCCCCACCCCGGTGTGTGCCACTTGCAAGCCGCCTGGCTCTGGATGAAGCTATGGCAGCTTTGGGGGGGGGGTCAGTTTGCTCACCTGTAAAATAGGTGATGCTCGTGTCATCTCAGGATGTCTTCCGAGGGCTGGAGCAGGTGTCCCAGCTCGTCCTACGGTGCCTGGCCTGTCAAAGAGGCTTGGTAAATAGTAACGCTTGCTACTCGAATTCCAGGATCCCCGGGCCAGTCAATATCTAGGTTGATGTTGAAGGACATGATTTGGGGGGTCAAAAGGCTCTTTACCACTGTGCACGGCCAGGGGCTCACCTGGGTGCAGGGGCTGTGCCAGCAGCCAGCAAACATGACAGGAGGAGGCTGGAGCTGGCGGGATGGGAGGGGGCCCACATAGTGGGAGAGCTCAAACTCGGGGAGCCTGGGCTCACATCCACGGAGCCACGCACTTGTTACAGGATCCTAGTGGCACCTCAGTGTCCTCAGGTGAGGCGGGGGGACTAGGGCAGAGCTTCTGAAACCACATGTGCACCCAGGATCCCCGGGGGTTCAACATGCTGATCCAGGGTGGGACTGGGAGCCGCACTTTGCACAAGGGCCCAGCTGCACCTCAGCTGCCGGCCCACAAGCTCTCGGCGTCTCCAGCAGGAGGCCCCCACCTGACTTCTTAGCGCATCATTCTGCTCATCCCTTAGCCCCCTGCCAAAGGTCACAGGGTGCCGTTCTAGCCCGTCTGCACAGGTGCCCTTGCTCTGTCCTCTCCTGGTCCAGAGCTGGCCTGTGGTCAGTGTGTAAGTATTTGTGGAGGGCCTACTCCGGGCCAGGACGCGTGGCTCCCCGGGATTTGGTGATGGTGCTTGGGCAGGTCCCCCCGCCCTCATGCGGTGTAGGGTCCAACTGCGAGCTCATCATTATGCCCACAGCTCACCTGGCCTGCCGGCTGGAGCGCCCTGCCTGAAGGGGCCTGTGTCTCTGTCGCATGTCCGCCTGGCACCGGGCACCACCGCCCGTGGGCAGAGAGGGCCGCGGCCTGGGACTGCAGGCGGTTTGTGCAGACGGAGTTTTCTTCCTCCCTGCGCTCAAGGGCAAGCTGATGTCCACACGGTGTTGGGATGCATCACGTCTAGTGCTAACTGTGTATTCTTTTCTAGTCGTTGCCATCCGGACACATACAAGGAACTTTCGAACTGGCCAATAAAGAAGAAAACAGAGAAAAAAACAGATATCCCAACATCCTTCCCAGTAAGATTTTACCTTTTTTGCATGAGTGGGGGCGTTTGGAGTAAACTGGACATTCCCTCGCAGCTCCCGGGGACCGTGCGGTGTGATGGTTCCAGTGCTCGGATATGAGGGCCCTGGGCCGCACTGCTGCATGCCTATTGCATAGGAGTGTGGGTGCCCGTCTCCTACGGGGGCTCAGGCTGCCGCTGTCGTTGGGGGTCTGGCCACTGAGTCTGTGCTTGATGTTGAGACCTGCACTGCCCGGGGATTCGGGAGTGTCACCTACACGGGCTGGATCTGGCCCTGAGCCCCAGTCTCGTGCTGCTGGTGGCCTGGTCATCTCCCTGACTCAGACTCAGTGTCCTTGGCCACCAGCAGTGGGTCCCCCAAACCAAGGACAAAAATGAAAGAGTGAGGAATGGGTAGGGCTTTGACAGCTTTGTGGGAAGGCTCAGAAACCCCACCTGCTAAGGGGGACCAGCGGCTGTGGGCGTGCGCTGCAGGGAGGCCACCAGGCCGGGCAGCTGACAGGTCTGTCCAGGGATGTAGCTGTTTGGGCTGTGCCCTGGGGGCAGCTTTCACAGCCTGCCTCGGTGCCAGGACAACCTTGGAGGTTCCAAGCTGCCCTTATAACCGCTGGCTGAGGAGGGTCTCATACTCTTCATGCAGCTGGACCCCTCCTGGGGAGCAGAAAGGCATCCAGGAAGGTTTTAAACCCTGAACCCCAGGCCTCCCTGCTCCAGAGAACCTTCCTTCTCAGAGAGAGCCTCTGTGGGAGCAAGGAAGCCAGCCCGTCCATGGGCCTCCGTGCATGGGCTCTTGGTTGTGTTTTTAGGATCAGAGTTAAATCCACCTTTTCTGTAGGCTAGAGAAGCTGCAGTCTGCCCAATTTGTGTGGCCTCTGGACTCCCAGCTCTTGATACAAATAATACTTCTGCACTTTACAGAGGATTTACACGTCTTTTGTGCAAAGGCCCCTGGGAGGCTCTGATCCAACTAGAACAAGAGACATTAACCACGTAGTCTCTGGGCCAAACATATTTGTGTAGGCAGCCAGGGGAGCAGCAAGGAGATGGGCCAGGATGCTGTGTAGTTGTGCCACTTGGCGGGTAGGGGGCTCGGACTGAAGTTAGATTCTGGCCACGCAATGGGGAGATTTGGGAGGATGGGGTGTGGGTTATCAGAGAAGGGAAGAGGCAAGCCACTTGGCTTGAGTAGCTCAAGTGAGAGGAGAACCATGGAGGGATGCTTGGGGTCTTTGGAATATCTTGTGTCAAATAAAAATTGGGACGTTCGGAAAATTAGCATTATTAGTATTAGTAGTATTATTATCTATTGTTGGTTTAAAGAATAGCCTCATTAATTAGTGTAATTTATGTATTGACCTGCTGAATGCACATCTGGAGGACCTCCTCGCTCCAAGCACTTTCCCAGGTTCCCGATCCCCATTTGTCTCTTACTAAACCCCTGTGGTTTTTATTTTTTTATTTTTTTAAAGATTATTTGTTTATTTATTTATGAGAGACACAGAGAGAGAGGCAGAGACACAGGCAGAAGGAGAAGCAGGCTCCATGCAGGGAACCTGATGTGGGACTTGATCCCAGGTCTTCGGGATCACGCCCTGGGGCGAAGGCAGATGCTCAACCGCTGAGCCACCCAGGTGTCCCAAACCCCTGTGGTTTTTAAAAGGTGACATTTATTTTTCTTTTAAAGATTTTATTTATTTATTCATGAGAGACACAGAGAGAGGCAGAGACACAGGCAGAGGGAGAAGCAGGCTCCATGCAGGGAGCACGATGTGGGACTCTATCCTGGGACTTCAGGATCATGCCCTGAGCCAAAGGCAGGTGCTCAACCACTGAGCCACCCAGGCATCCCTAAAAGGTGGCATTTACACTGATAATTAAAAGTATTTTTGGTGAGGCCTCAGTGGGAGTGGAAGTAACGGCCAGGTGTGGAAATTACCTGTCCCTTCTCCCCCCTTTGCAAAGCTGACGGCCCGGGGGGGTGCTGCCTCCCCCGAGGGTCACCAACCTCCACGTGTTCTCAAGCTTGTGCTACGGAGGGAAGTGGCCCTTTCCTGCCAGTAAAAACTTGCACCAGGGCCAGTCTGCCCCCATCCCCCGGCACTGGGTGAGAGTCCAGCCGCAGCCCTGCCCTGCCCGGGAGCACAGCGCCAGAGGAAGCGGGGTGCCAGCGCTGCTCAGGGGCCAGGGCACTCTGCCCGGGTGTGTGGACGTGTTTCACATGACGGGACACTGGGCTATGGAACGGCGGCATGAGACCCTTGGGATGTGCCCTGGAGATCACCTGCTGAAAGGCATCTGGCATCGGCAAGACACAGGGCAAAGGAGAGCCATGTCCGATTAAACTGAGGAGTTGGCCAGAGATGCCCCGGGGCCGGGTAGGGGGCCAGGACGGCATTGGACTGGTATCACTGAGGTCATGCCGGGGCTCTCAACTCTCTGCCGCACCCTGCCTGGGGCTGGGAGACTCTGCTCTTGCTTGGGGTGGGGTTAGGGTCTGCAGGGGCTGCGAAGGGCCAACTCCCAACTGCCCCGTACACCGTCCAGGCCGCTCCCCGTCCTCCCCAAGCCGGGATCGGCTGAAACTTTACCAGCTTTATGAGACCCAGTCCTGGATGGGGCTCCAGGGAGCTCCGAGTTCAGAGACCAGGACACCTGCTGTGTGCACGAGGCTGGCCTATGGAAAGCCCCCGGTGGCCAGTCGGGAGGCAGCATCCTTCTCTCTGGAAAAACAGCAACAGCTGATAATTTCAGGAAATAATGTTTTGAAAGCGAAGTGTGACTTTCAGAATAAAAAGACAGGAAGCTCTTAGAAACTGCAAGGTTCTAAATCTAACTAGAAGGCTATTTTTTGCCTTCTGCTTTCTATAGCTGTTCTCGATGCATAAACTGATCCAAATTATTTCCAACTTTGCTTTACGCGTGTGCAGCCAGAGCTATTTTCTGCTTCAGGGCTGTCTCACGGAGAAAGAGGGTCTCATGGAGAAGTCCACCCGGGCTCTGAGTTTGGGGTCCGACACCCTGATTGGGTCGTGACTCTCCCTGGGAGCCTCGCTGGCCTTGTCCTGCCAGAAGCAGGACAGATCTGGCCCAGCGATACAATATCCAGGTGATGGGTGTCTGCAGCCAGCAGTGCCTTGCGGGTAGGCTGGGGACCACAGCGGTGCTCCGGGGTCTGGGCCCCAGATCCATGCCACAAGCACATTCTTCTCAGTTTCAGTCCTGTGGGGATGAGGAGGGGATAAAGCAGGACAGGGACACAGAATTTTTCCATAATTAATGCAGTAATTACGTGTGAAGTGCTCACTCTGCTCCACGCTCTGTGCCCAGCACGGCGTGAATAACCCCAGGAGTAGCTTTGCCTCTTGGCCCAGGCCCTGGGCTGCGTCTGGGCATCCTCAGTGCTCCCACTCCCGGGAGAAGCTGCTGTACAAATAGAGGCACGAGTACAGCAGCATGGAGACCCAGGTCCACGGCCACAGCACTTCTAAAGTCCCATGAAACCATCTAGTTCCCTTTGAAATCAGAAAAAATATATATACACAGTCCAGTCTGGATTACATTAAGCTTTATACTCACCAGTAACACAGTCATAAAATAAAATGTTTAATTTTTATTTTTTTAAATGGAGGAAGTGGCCCACGGAGGCAAGAGTGGCAAGAACCCACCGCAATCACAAAGGGGCTCCGGCTGCAGCCTCCCCAGTGCGTGTGCACGTGCACACCCCACAGACGCACATGCACACCATACACAGAGAAAACACATACACACATCACTCACCTGCACACCCCACACTCACACACTCACACACAGACCTCTCTGTGGTCAGTCCTCCCACTCTGGAGACTAGTCGTACGACAAGGCAGGATCTTCCAGGCAGGTGGCCCACGGCGCCCAGCCCAGGTCTGTGAGGCCTGCACACCCGCCATCCCTGGAGCCGCCCTGAGGGTGAGGATCGGGCTGTGAAGTCGGCTTGTCGGATCCCCAGAAAGCCTGGGAGAGCGGGCTTCAGTCCTTCCACCCAGGGTTGTCCTGACTATGGTTGTTAACACTGGGGCCCAACTGGGGTTTCCGAGAATGTGGTGATCTCACTGTGGGGTCCCAGCCCGTGCTGCTGCCCCCGCTCCTGGGCACTGAAGTTCTTACCTGCGCACCTGGGGAGGGCCTGGCACTGTCATCAGTGCTGAGACGTGATAGTCAACGAAACAGGTGCATTCCCACCCTCATGGCACAAAGGGTCTCATGCGAACGTTTAAAGAAGGGCACCGCCTCTGTCCCTCTGATCACCATAAAAGACCCGGTGGTGTCCTTTGCGGCGTTTAATGCTGTAGATGGAAGAAATGTATGGCAGGTGTGATTGCCTTGTCCTAATAGCATGTTTTGTTGTTTCTTTTTTAAACAGATGATCATTCCAGGGTGATTTTGAGCCAAGTGGACGGGACCCCCTGTTCAGACTACATTAATGCTTCCTACATAGATGTAAGTCTGTTTTTTGTTTTGTTTTGTTTTGTTTTGTTTTTTGCCCCCCGGCCCAGCACGATGCACATGCCTGGATCATTTAGGGGCTCCATGTGAATCGTGATTTTTCTCTGGGGGAGCCAGGAATGTAGATTGTCCCAACCTTCCTGGGTAGTTTGGCCAGAGCCCAGAGAGCATGGAATCACCCAGGCCTTTGAAGTTAGCATCCGTCCGGATATTCAGTTTCAAGAAACAGATAAGCAGGGCCATCTGGGGGGCTCAGTCAGTGAAGCGTCTGCCTTCGGCTCCGGTCATGATCTCAGGTCCTGAGATCGAGCCCCGTGTCAGGCTCCCTGCTCGGCTGGGAGTCTGCTTCTCCCTCTCCCTCTTCTTTCCCCCTGGTCGTTCTCTCTCAAATAAATAAATAAAGTCTTAAAAAAAAAAAGAAACAGATAAGGACAAAGAATGTGTGTCACAGCATTCTTTACATTACTGACAAAGTTGAACGGGAGAGACAAACAAACTTATGATAAAACCATATTTAGTGCATTAAGAATCCACTTTACTGGAACCTTAAAAATCATTTAACGTAAATCATAAAATTATCGTAAAAGCACAATATAGGAGAATTTGTATGTATTAACCAGTTAAAAATATCTCGACGCGTGTCCATTTGTGTGTGTGTGCGTGTCTGGGAAAGCATTGCAGAGGGACGAACCAAAGTCCCACTAATTCTGAAATCACTAGTAAGCTTTTCATGATTACTATGTTGCTTTCCAAGCAGCAAAGAGAATGATGAAAAACTACTAATCTGATTTTATTTCTTCTAGGGTTACAAAGAGAAGAATAAATTCATAGCAGCTCAAGGTAAGCTTTGTATCGTTTCTCTCAGAACAAGGTTTGGGTAAAATGTCGTGGCTGGCACTACCTGATGGCAGGAACACGGGGCTTCCGCTCCCGCCTCTCGTATGTGTGCAGTGTGGCGTCTGCGTTGCCTGGTGCAGTGTGTCCCACCTGTCCTTAAGCTCAGGGCATGAAGGGGGTCACAGATCTCTCAGAGCCTTGCAGCTCAAGGCGCTGCCGCGGAGTGTCTGCGGGTCCTGGGAGCTGGGCAGCAGTGCTTATTGCATCTGCGTCTTAGCGAGCATTCTGAGGTCGTTTTGCACGTCCATTTGTGAAGCATGACGACTTGGAGCCCCCGGGCACCTTGGTCTCCCTCTGTGGTCAGGGCAGACGTCTGAGGAGCCGGGCAGGTGCAGTCATTTCCAAATGCAGGTGTAAGAGGCCTGTCGGATGTGCATCCACCCAGTGTGTACGTGAGATAAACAGACACATGGCTTTTCTCCACACCTGCGTGACAGGCCAGTGGGACCATGTCAGTGACATTAGACAACCTTGAATCTCTCAGCTGGTAGAGCCCTATGTGGCTCCCACGTTGTTGTTTTATTGCGGGGAGGGGGTGCAGTGGGGAGGGGAGAGAGTAGCTTTTCAGCTCAAGGCCGTAACCGTGAGGATGCTTCGGCTCTGGAAGCTCGCCCTCAACCTTGCACACAGTCCACTTTGTACGTGCGAGTGCTCCCAAGCCCGCGTACCATCCACCGCCCCGGGAGCTGGTGCTATGCAGCGAGGGGTGTGGAGCCATCGGCTGGTTTCCTGGACTTCCTCCCTCTTAGGCAAGAGCCTTTCAGACTACAGGTCCCAAAAGCCCGTGTACATCGGAATCACTGGAGAGCTTATTAAAAATGCACATTCCCTAAAACCTAGGTAAACACACGTACACATACACCCAGGAGACGTCGGAAAGCCTGACAGGCATTAGCTGACACAGATCAACACCTCTGTCTCTGTCTCTCTGTCTCTGTCTCTCTCTGTCTCTCTGTCTCTGTCTCTGTCTCTCTCTCTCTCGTAAGCAGGGGAGGCAGCTCAGCTCCAGGGAGAGGGGCCCCTTTATCTTCCTGCTCCACCCTCTGGAGCACGTCACTGCCTTCCTCAGGGTCACAAAATAGCTGCTGCATCTCCAGGCACTGTGTCTGTATCCAGGCAGGATGCAGGGCAAAGGACAAGGAGTTTCTTCTGGGGACACTTTATCTTTTGTTCAGACCGCTCCCCAGGAACGTTAGCCCAGAGCTCCCTGGACGGCCCTGAATCACCGCCAGCTGTGAGGGCAGCTGAGAGCTGAGGGAAGGGGGTTAGGCACGGAGGGTGAGTCAGCCGGCCTGTGGTCTGTGTCTGTCTGCATCTGTCTCTGCGTGGCACTGAGACGCTCGGCGAGGCCCTGGAGTGGACGCACACCACGCTGACGCGCAGGCAGGCATATTCCCAAGCCTCCTCTGCATACTCTCTATTGCTTGTGAATGGGGTCACCCCCTGGGTGCAGCTGAGGAGCTCCCCAAGGACTTCCAGCCCCGGCGGGGGGCAGGGGTGTGGCTGTGGTGGGACAGGGCGAGAAGCCACAGACCTCCGGGTCTGCACAGCAGCCCTTCGCGCCTCAGAGCAGCTGGGCCCCAAGGCCAGGGTGACGGGGCTGCGACCCACGGTGACCCCCCCCTTCCGGTGTGACTTGGGGTTTTTCCTCTGCATGCAGGCCCCAAACAGGAAACGGTTAATGACTTCTGGAGGATGATCTGGGAACAGAAGTCTGCGACCATTGTCATGTTGACCAACGTGAAGGAGAGGAAAGAGGTGAGCCCAGCCTCGTGACTCACTCACCGAGGACTCTCTTTTAGTTTCGGGTACTTTTGCTGGGAGGCATGCTCACCACATCCTTTTCCTATTCCTCTCCCTTCTTATCTCTGCCGAAGGAAAAAAAAAAAACAAACAAAAAAAACAAACCACCAGTGGCTCACAGCATTTTTTATCTTGAAATAAATACGCTGTGTTCCAGGCATCTCACTGCTCTAGATCGTGATGCAGAAATGTCACGGAGTTAGCTCTTTTTTTTCAGCTGGGGGTCCCTGGCCAGCGGGCTGCTCTCGCCCTGGTGGGGGCCACGGAGCTCAGGCCTGAGAGGCTCAGCCTCGAGTTACACATGCATTTCCTGCTTCTTACCCAGACTAGAGAGATGCTCTTGGAAAACGAGGTGCATTGAAGGAATGTGGATTCATCACCCCCGTTTAGCTGTTTCTAACGTGACACGTGATGCACGTGCATTGTAAGAAAGAGCTTGAAACCTCTATAAAGAAGAAGGTTAAACAGATTCATTCCCTAAATGTGCAAATGCTCCTTGGTGTCTGCTGTCCTGGGCAGGCAGCGCCGCCCCGGTGGGTGGGGGGCGGGGGGGGGGGCGCGTGAACCAGCTCACAAACCCTACCTCCTGCTATGTCATTGCCTCTGGGTGTGTGTGGGGGGAGCAGACGCCAAACAGAAAGCAGATAAATGTAAACTGTATCAGGAGGTGACATAAAAAATAACAGGGAGGGGCGCCTGGGTGGCTCAGTCAGTTAAGCATCTGCCTTCGGCTCAGGTTGTGATCCTGGGGGCCCTGGGATCAAGTCCCGCATCGGGCTCCCTGCTCAGCTGGGAGTCTGCTTCTCTCTCTCCTCCCACTTGTGCTCTGTTGCTCATTCTCTCTCATAAATGGATGAAATCTTTAAAAAAAATAGCGGAAAGCACAGGGCCAGCAGCAGGCAGGGAGGGCAAGCGAGCCAGGTGGACCGAGGGCACAGTGGGTGGAGCCCCGGGTGGGCGTGGGGCATGCAAGGCCACTTCTGTGCCTTCTAGTCCTTTGGTCTTGACCTAAGGGACACAGATCCCTATCAACTAAGTCACAGCACAGCGTGACTGTGGTTTCTGGGGCAGGAAGGAGGGGGCCCCCCCGCGGGAGCCGCACCCTCTCTTGGGTATGGGTCAGGGCAGGGTCTGGAGTCACATGGAATCTCAAAGGCTGGGGGAGGACTTGACCAAATCCACCCCGAGGGAGATACTCTGGGTGTGCGGGTTGGGGGGATGTGATCGCCAGGCCCTGAGTCATCTCCTGGGCCCCCAGACATGCTGGGAGCAGAACCGCTAAGGATGCATCTGGGAACTGGGCCTGGGGCTCCGGTGGAAGGCTGAGACGGAGACCCCGGGCAGGCTTCACAGCAGAAAGCAGGGGCTTGAGTTTCAGGACGTGAGCTCGCTCTCCATGGTGGAAAAATCGCAAGCTGGAAGGAGACTTGCTGGGGATGGGAAGACTGTTCTAGCATGTTCCAGGGTGAGGGCCAGAGCAAGGTGGAGGGGGCAAGCAGGTGGAGAGGAAGGGCCAGCGTGGGGGGAGACCTCTGTCCTGCTGCTCCCTGGGTCCCGGTCGGTGCCTGCTGGTCTCTACCCCAGGCCCGCCGTCACGCAGGGGCCTGAGACCCGCTGGCCGGGCCCCACCAAGCTCAGGCAGCTGGGCTCGGGCTCCAGGGAAGGGCTGCCCTTTGAGACAAAGGGCTCGGGGAGCTGGGCTGGGGTCGAGGGCACACTGGCCGCAGGCAGAGCGGGCAGGGCGGGCAGGGCAGGCACGGAGGAGCCGCCTGCCAAGTGCCACTGTCACTGATTGGTTCTATGCCTGCCAACCAGCACAGGAAAAGGCCCCCAGTCACCCTTTCCGGTCGGGTAGGATGGGGTTTTTGTTTTGTTTCCAAGGGGGTTGGGACAGGGCTGGAGAGGGCCACTCCTCTCCCGTGGTGAATCCCGCCCACCCCGTGGATGGAAAGAGTGACAGCAGACGGGGGTTTCAAGGCAGGAGCAGTGAACCCTTCCCACGCTCCCAGCAGATGCCTCGGCAGGGCCAGGCCCTGGCCCCCGAAGAGGAGGCGGCTTCCCCGGGAGCCCCGGGGGGCCCTGGGACCTGAGCCCCCCCCCTCCACCCCCCCACCTCCTGCTGCCACTTGCCAGGGGTGGGACGGGGCGGGGAGGGGGCTTGTTTACAAACAGGAGACCCAGTGAGACGGGCAGGGGGGCCGTGGGTCTCCAAGAACCCCCCCTCCTCCGGAGCCTCCTACTGGATTTTTCCATTTCTGTGACTCAGAGCTGGCCTGCTTCTCTATCTTGATTTTCACCATTTCAGATGAAATCATTTCTCAATAGAGTTCCCTTTTCTTCATTGCTTGCACTTCTCTTGTCTCCTCCCTGGCTTCAACGTTCTGTTCTGGCTCAACGTTGTGAAACGCAGTTGCCGCAGCGGCTCGTGACCGGGCCGGAGGGAGGGCACCGTGGCCGTGGGGAGACAGGAGGCCGAGGGCGGAGGGGCATCCGCATGCACAGCCCCGTGGGGGCCCTTCAAGGGGAGAGGCTCGGGAGGTCCTGGGGGTCCCCCAGGAAGCCAGGAATCGCCCAAACCGTCACCTTGGAGTGTTTGACTCTCCTTGGATTCAGAGACGTCCTGGGGGACGGAGGGGAAGTTGTCCTGAGGCCTCGTAATGCTATTGCGGGGCAGCGCTCACGCGCCCTCGGAGGCCTCGACCTGTGGGCCTGGGGATGTGCCGTCCCCACTCACAGACACCTGCAGCATAGGGGGACGGAAGGTCCGGAGGTGGGTCCCTGCGTGGCAGCTGTGCATCCCCTGCGGACCCCGACCTGGGGTGGGGGGCCGTGGGGAGCGTTAGCTGTCCCCTCTTCAACAGCAAGCGCACCGGCCAGCTCTGTCCTCAGGGAGCTGAGCAAGGAAAACACTCCCTGCCGGGCCCAGCGACACGCCCCACCCAGCGTCGGTGTCCCCATCAGCCGGGGGTCCCCGTGTAGACTGGGGGCTGCCCGCGTGACCGCACTCTCTGGGGCCCTTGCCCGGTCGGGGAAACTGTGCAATGGCACCTGGAGCGCGTGCGTGTCGAGGGCGCGGGGGCAGACGGGCCCCCCGGCACCCACAGGCCTATTTCTCTCTGTGCCACCATCCCCTGTAGGAGAAGTGCTACCAGTACTGGCCGGACCAGGGGTGCTGGACCTATGGAAACATCCGCGTGTGCGTGGAGGACTGCGTGGTTCTGGTGGATTACACCATCCGGAAGTTCTGCATACAGTCCGTAAGCGTGTGCAGTTATCGCCTTTCTGGAAAGACAGTTCTTCAAAAGAGCAGTGTCGAGAGTCAGTATGCATCTGGCTTGTCTTTGATATGACGAGCTTTGTCCCCACCCCCGGCTCCCAGCACTGCAGCGGCCCTGGCTGTGCGTGGTGGTGGTGGGGGGGGGGGTGGACAGGGTCGGCCTTGGTGGACCGAGGACAAGAACCTACGGACGAGGGGACGCGTAGGCCGGTGTCTTCAGACAGGGCTGGATGCTCCTGGGCCCGGCTCACTGTTTTGGGCGGAGGAAGTTGAGTCACTTGCAGGGGGCACCAGGATTGGGGGTTCTCACTCAGCAGCGTGATGTCATTTCACACATTGCAGTAATGAGGTGGGATTTTTTTTTTTTTAACAGTCTCGAAAGTATTTCTGTAACCTCCTCAGTATTTGTCATACTGACTTCCTGCTTGTCCCCGCCCAGGCCCTGCCTGAAAGAATGTAAGGTTCTTCAATACCGATGCCCAGGGACAAAGCACATGATATATATATATATATATATATATATATATATATATATATATATATTTTTTTTTTTTTTTTTTTTTTTTTTTAAATGGGAAAAACAGAAGGTCACGGTGTCAGGAATTGGAGGTAGAGGGCCTGGCATGCTTAGATGGCAAAATTGGAGTCTGAGGTTTCTAGAAGCCACAGCAAAGATGGGAAGAGGCTGGGCTTTATCATTTCCCTGCCTCTGCTTGTGTCCTTCGAGGACATGCACACACACACACACACACACACACACACATACACCCCTCCATGCACACTCTCTAGCCTTCCGTGATCACAGGCCTTGGGTGGGCCGCCGGCCAGCTGCATCTTCTTTTCCCTCAAAATGGGAGACACTCTGGGGAGTGAAAGGGGGCGCTGCTGGTAAGGATGCAGGCGTAAAGTGCAGCCCTGCTCATCAGTGGGGTTGGTGAGCCCAAGGGCCGGCTTCTGGGGTGTGTCTGGCTGCCTGGGGGCCGGCCTGCCCTGGGCCTGAGATAGGTGCTGTGGGGTCTGTTGTGCTGCCCCTGGTGTCCACACGCTGCCTAGGGCCTAGACGGTGGGGGTAGGGGGTGGCGGGGGGGCAGTGAGCATCCTTAGAAAGTGATGTCGGGAGCAGGGGGGAGGCAGCACCCCCCACTCATGTCCCCCCCACCCTCCCATCCCCCACAGCAGCTCCCTGATGGCTGCAAAGCCCCACGGCTCGTCTCCCAGCTGCACTTCACCAGCTGGCCTGACTTCGGCGTGCCTTTCACCCCCATCGGGATGCTGAAGTTCCTGAAGAAGGTGAAGGCTCTCAACCCGGCCCACGCCGGACCCATAGTGGTCCACTGCAGGTACGTCCAGGTGGGACCACAGGGCAGCCCCCCCCCACACACCTGGAGGACTTGGCTGTCATGGGAAGATGACCGGTGGGCCGGGATCAGGGTGGGCAGGAGGGCAGGCAGGGCCGGGGTGAAAGCAGCCCCCTGCCCAGGGTGAGTGCAAGTTACTACTGACACCTCAGAGGATCCCTCGAGGTGAGAGCTGGAGGGACATTCAGCCCACCTGTGAGAGCAGCACTGTTTCTTCCACGGCATCTGAGGGGGAACCCCAGTACCTAGAACAGATAAAAGCCAAGAGGCCTGGTAGATAGAGCTAGCGGGGCTCCCGACAGTTTCTCTTGGCCTGCCTCCACCTCCCCCGGAGACCTCCAAGTCACCTCTGCGGGTAGAGATGGAAACCACACTTCTCTGGGGAGCCCCCAGTCTTTATACAAGAGTACACGGGGCTCAGGGGGCCCACGGGGGCTCAGAGGGGCCACGGGGGCTCAGAGGGGCAGGGAGCCATGGCCCAGGCACAGCTAATAGCAGCCAGGAGCAGCGGTCCAGGGCAGGGCGTCCTGAAGACCTGCTCTGAGGTCCTGGCTGCCGCTTCTCCTCCCAGACGCATCCTCCTCCACCCTCCATTCTCCAGTCCTGGAGGGGCTGGGGACTCACCCTAGGGGTGAGCTTTGCATGAAACTAAATACTACACCAGCCTCAGCTGTCAGCACTGTGATTATTGCTTAGGTTGTGGGAAAGCAGCCTTCAAAGTGATCACTTTGTCCCGACCGGGTGCCCTCTGCCTTTGCACACCTTGGTGTCTCCTGATTGTTTTCACACCGAGCTTTCATTTCCCCTGGAACTCTGGGAGCCACAGAGGCAGGGTATGAATTAACCCCCTCTGTGGGCTTATGTTCCTCCAGGCCCAGGTTGGCTCCCGGTGCAGCAGGTCGTGTCTGAGAAAAGGCCTTGGACTTCGAGTTAGTTAACTGGCTTATGCACATTCTGTGTTTGGAGATAAAGGCACAAAAATGGGGAACACTCTGCTGCCAGACTCTCCATCCCCCCCGGGGGGGTGCTCTGTTAGAACCCTAAGACTGGGAGGGTGAAAGGGGAGGCCCCTGGCATCCCGGCCAGGGCTGGGGTCCTGGCCCTGGTCCTTGGGAGCTGAGGGACATTGCAGCAGCTGTGCGTGAAGTGAGGTGGCATCTGTAGGGTGACAGTTGCCAGCCCTGCAAGCCGCTCCCAGCAGCCATACTGGAGAGGGGAGCCTTGTGGGCCAGTCCTGCTTGGCCCCAGCTGGGGCGTCTTGTCTGTTGCTCCTGTTCTTGCCCAGACTTCTTGGAAGCCAGAGTCTCCATGTTCCTTCTACCCAAAGGCCTGTGTGGCAGGTTCAGAGCATCCGTATCACTGTGTGCAGATGCCTTTTGTCCCTTGTCCCTTTTGCCCTTTGGCAGTGCCAGGGTACTCCCAACTAACCTGTCTGCAACGGCCAAAACCAAGTGAGACCCTGGTGAGCTGGGCCTTCCCTCCATGCGGCGGGGGCACGCCTGGATGGAAGGGCCCGAGTCCCCCCACGGGGACTTCCATGGACCCATCAGAGATGTGGGGCCCCCTCTGGCAGACACCCTGGGGACTTTGGTGGCCTGTCTTCAGGACCCAGAGTCCGATGCCCCCAGCTGGAGAAGCTGTGGCCGGAGGGGCTCCAGGTTGAGTTCCCGTTGGCTCTGCAAGACCATTGCAGCTGCCGCAGGCCTCCCGAGGTGGCTGCCAGCCCAGCCCCGGGATGGGGATGCGGGACCTACAGAAACGGCCTTTGTGTTGGGTCTTGGGTGGCCACAGGGAGGGGTCTTGGTCCTGCTTTGCTCTGATCCCGCCAGACCCGTCGTGCATGTGAAACCGTAGTGAGTGACACTGTCCTCGCCCTGCTCGCTCCGTCCCGCCCACGGGTGCCCAGCACAGGTGCTCTGGCCATTTATCTTGTTTCCGTGCTGGGCCCCCTCCGTGGCCCGGAGTGCCTGCCTTCGCCGGTGAGCACGTGCTCGTCTCCCTGTGGGCAGGTTTCCCTTCGGTGCTACCACTGCGGCTCCTGGGCTCTCGGGCCTTCTTTTATGTTCTGTTTTGCCACCGGGTGTTTAATCCACGGGAAGTGGAAGGGGCGGCCCGCTCCAGCCCCCTCCTTCCTGGTGAATCCTTCCCTTCCTGAGCCGGGGCGCCTCCCCACCCTGTCGGTTGGTTGTGTGGGCAGATGGGCGGTCCTTGGCGCCCGCCCACGACGGTCACGGTCACGGTCACGCGGTGGCAGGAATTCCTGCCCAGAGCACAGCCTGCTGGAAGCCAGCAGGGTGGGGGAGAGGCTCCCACTGGGTGGCAGCCCCCAGCCTCCACGTCCCACCTCCAGGGCCACGCTCATCCTCAGAGGGGGGCTCTCAGCTCCAGGCCACGTAAGGACGCAGGGGCTTTGGCTTCCTGGTGTCCTTGCTGACACACTCATCCTCAACGCTAGATTCTTAATCACTTAAAAGGAACCGATGTCCTCTGCCCGGATCCCCCAAGATCGGCATCCCCGTGGAGGCCGGCTGCAAGGACCACCTGGCCTCAGCCTTTTCCTGGGGGACCCGTGTGGTGCCTTTCCCGGGTGCACCCCAGGCCAGCTGAGGGGGCCTGTGAGTGGCTCAGGGACCCTGACGGCCTTCCAGCCTTCCAGCCGGTGGTTTTGTGGCCTTCCTCGTGCATTGGGTGGGGCTCACCTGGCTCTGCACCTGCTGGTTTCTCTGACTTTGTATCTGTGAAGAGCTAAGACCCCCGCAAAGGGCCTCTCGTGTGTTTTACCTGCTTTCCCTTTGAGATGAGGGGTCTGCCCTAGGGGACGGTCTTCACCACTGTCCTAGCCCCATTTTGGAGCCTAACCCGAAAGAGGGGTAGCTCCCACCCCCCCACCAAAAAAAAAAAAAAAGAGGAAAGTAGGAGGACTCCGCTCATTAAGTTGCGAGCTTTTTTGTTAAGGAGATGATTTTCCTTTTTGCAAGAGGTTAACGCTGCAGGGGCTGGAGGGGGCAGCCCCGTTTGGGGTGCAGTTCTGGTGGAAGATGCTGCACACATGAGTGTGCGTCCCTAGCGGGTCCCTCGTTCAGCAGATATTGGCTGAGCGCCACCGCGTGCCTGCGTTGTCCTGGGTGCTGGGAACAGGTGTGCGCGGCCCACCGTCTGGGGGAGATCCGGCAGGTGGCGGAGGCCCAGGAGGTGCTGTGGGGCGCACACTGGGAGGGCGGGAAATCCAAACCCAGGAAACCATTCGGGCAGCTTCCTAGCGAAGAAGCCACTGAGCAGAGGCCCTAGGGGCCAGCTGGCTTCAGCCCACCCCGGGGTGAGGCCTGGGAGGCCAGAGGGAGCGAGCTGGTGCCTCCCCTTCGGGCTGACCTTCCTTAAGGGCCGTCAGACCTGGCCTGGGAGCCTCCTTTTTATAAAGAACCTGGGAAAAAAGCCATTTCAAGTGTGACATTTAAAAAAAATCCATTGGGATCCCTGGGTGGCGCAGCGGTTTGGAGCCTGCCTTTGGCCCAGGGCGCGATCCTGGAGACCCGGGATCGAGTCCCACGTCGGGCTCCCGGTGCATGGAGCCTGCTTCTCCCTCTGCCTGTGTCTCTGCCTCTCTCTCTCTCTCTGTGTGTGACTATCATAAATAAATAAAAAATAAAAAAAATTAAAAAAAATAAAAAAAATCCATTTACACTCATGGTGACAGGTCAGCATTGGGTAATGGAAGCAAATGACTCGCACAACGTCACGGGGGGCTGCTGGCACGGATCTTTCTGAGAAACCTTTGGGACAGTTTCTGTAGCTCGTAGAGGAGCATTTTGAGATCATTTTCCTGAGATTGCGGTGCCCTCTGCTGGCCTCGCCGTAGATCTGCTCTTTATTAACGGAGGAAAGGGGCCACTAAGTGACGCTGGAGGCTCCCCGCGAGGGCGGCGGGCTGTCCTCTGTCCTTCTGTCCGGGCGCACAGGTGGGCTCTGCAGTCATTCGCCTCGGGGTGGTCGGGCCGGGGGAGGCGCCTGTGCCTCACCACGTGGCGCCCTCCTTCTCCCTGAAGCGCCGGCGTGGGCCGGACGGGCACCTTCATAGTCATCGATGCCATGATGGACATGATGCACGCCGAGCAGAAGGTCGATGTCTTTGAGTTTGTGTCAAGAATTCGCAACCAGCGCCCCCAGATGGTTCAGACGGATGTGAGTAGCGCCTTGCCCCGGGCCCAGCCCCCCATCCCGGCGGGAGCTGCACAGAGCAGACCCAGACCCCTTCGCCACCCCGAAACTGTGCGACGGTCCCCCAGAGGGTGCATGTATGGCAGCGCCTGGCAGGGCCCGTGGGCCCAGTAATGCCTGCTGTTGCGTGATCCTTACCCAACGCCATACATGGTCATTACAAATGGCTGTTAATCTGACTTTTGTCCCCAAGTCTCCTCCCTCTGGTGAGACGTGGAGAATAGGAAGCTTGGAAGTTGGAGCTGCTGAGCTCCGAGCGGCCAGAGGCTGCGGGGCTCCCTCGAGGGTGCTGGGCGCTCTGGGTCTCCCCGCAGATGCAGTACACGTTCATTTACCAAGCCTTACTGGAGTACTACCTCTACGGGGACACCGAGCTGGACGTGTCCTCCCTGGAAAAGCACCTGCAGACGCTCCATGGCACCACCAGCCACTTCGACAAGATCGGGCTGGAGGAGGAGTTCAGGGTAAGTGTGGACTGACTCGGAAGGAAGACGAGCGACCAGGGAAAGGAGGCCACACTCTCACCCACTTCCCCTCCTGACTAACCCCAGAAAAATCAGGGTGGCTGCCCCACCTGGGACTTAGGGGGAAGAAGAATCGGGGACTTTCAGAGCAGGGCGGCACCCCGTGTGGGGGAGCGTGTCGTGCACACTGTTTTATTTCCCAAGATTGGGGAAATGTCTGTAGGTGGAGAAAGGTATTTATTGCCCTTTAACAGGTGCCCTTGACGGTGGTGCGGTTACAAGGTTGAGGGACCCGCTCGGGGTGTCGTGTGGTGACCTCATGGGTGTGTCCTTCTTGACTGCAGAAACTGACAAATGTCCGGATCATGAAGGAGAACATGAGGACGGGCAACCTGCCGGCCAACATGAAGAAGGCCAGGGTCATCCAGATTATCCCGTGTAAGGCAGCCCCGGGGCCGCCCCGGGAATTTAAACCCTCGGGGCAGGAAGGGATCAGGGCTGGCGCCCCGTGAAAGTCTTGGACGACCCGCCTCTTCGAGCCAGGGCCCAAGGGCAGGACACCCTCGCGGAGCCTGGGGTTAAGGGCTCCTGAGGCCAAGGCGAGTGTTAGGAAGAAAACACCCACCTGTGAAGCGAGGACCGATGACCCAGACGGTCCTGTGTGTCAGGCGGCGGCTTCTGATACGAGACATCAGGCTCCAGGCCTTAGGGAGGCGGGCAGCGGGCAGGGGTGCAGTCAGGGGTCTAGGCTGCTGAGGCCCCGGGTACGGGGCAGGAGGGGGGGCCCGCATCTGTTTGTTCAGGGGGGAGGAAAGGAACTCTGTAGAGATCAGAGGAACCAAAAGAAAGGAAGGGAGGGGGAGCACCCCATTGCAGGTGGACCCCGGCTCCTGACATGCTTCAGTGTCACCGAGCATGAAAAGCGCATGCGGGCTGGGGGAAGCCCGCCTCAGCCTCACACCCTGGCTGCTGCGCGGCCGTGGCTGCCACTCGGGGCCGCCTGCCTGGCCACCCTCCTTTCACTCCTGAAATGCAGTATTTTTAACGCTCGTATTTTGGTATGAATTACCTCAATTCGTGACAAACGAAAATGACAACTGGAATATTTTCAGAGCTTTCCTACTAAAACACCATTTTCTGGGCCAATTTAATTAACCTATTTTATAAAGAAACCCTTCCAGGGGCTTGACTTTGCGATTTTTTTATTAAGTTTTCTATTCCGGAAACTCGTAGCAACAAATTGAAGTTTGCAAGGCAGGACCGGTGTTTGTGCTAACTGAGGGGTCATGCTGCTTTGCAGATGACTTCAATCGGGTGATCCTTTCCATGAAAAGGGGTCAGGAATACACGGATTACATCAACGCCTCCTTCATAGACGTGAGTACAGCGGCCCTGGGCGTCCTTTGCAAAGACGCACGTTTCCTTTGTCTGTGATCACACGGACCCCTCATTAACTCGTTTTCACAATCAGGGAGGAATCCTGAAATCCAACCCATTTCGTTAGCAGACTAACTTGTTTTTTTGTTTTGTTTTGTTTTGTTTTGTTTTTTAAAAAAAAAGGAATGAATTTTGGGAATAGAGACCGTAGGCCCGCTGCTTAGTAATTGGCTAGTTTTCATTCTGTTCTTAAGCGATTTTTCTTTTTGGTCTCTCATGTGCACCTGTTACACACGGGTGCTCCCACGGCTCTCTAGCCTGCACTTTCTGCAACCGGTTCCTTGTGGACAGTGCAGTTGTGTCTTCAGGGCACGGTCACCAGCAGTCTCCACGCACAGCGGCCAAGTCTGCTGTAGAACTTCCCTTTGCAGATGAGAAAACTGTGCCAAAGGGAACTGGATTTGAACCCACATCCTCTATGTCCACGCCCAGTCCACCACCGTGATGCTGGCTGAGCCACCACACAGAAACCTGTGAGAGCACAGCCACCGGTGCTTTCTCGGGTGGCACAGAGGTGACCCCAGGTGCTGCAGGGGAGTTGCCTCGATTGCAGAGAGTTGGCATCTTGACCCATCGCAGACCTCGTGTGTGTGTGTGTGTGTGTGTGTGTGTGTGTGTGTGTACATGTGTGCACCAGCGAGGGCTCGGCTCAGCCAGGGAAGCTGGAGAACATTTCCCTCTCCTCAGACCCCGGGCTCTCATGAACCCCGTCTCTGTAGTGGGCCCACGATGAAAGGAGGTCAGACTCTCATCTCTGTTCCCTGTTTGAAGGGCTACCGACAGAAGGACTACTTCATCGCCACCCAGGGGCCCCTGGCGCACACGGTGGAGGACTTCTGGAGGATGGTGTGGGAGTGGAAGTGCCACACGGTCGTGATGCTGACGGAGGTCCAGGAGAGAGAGCAGGTCAGGGGCGCTCGTGCCTGGCTCAGGGACAGTGTGCACCCTTGGTGGCCCAGGCCGCCTGGCACGATCCCAGTGTTCCCCTGGGAATGGCCCACCCACCGTCAGCAGCTGAGGCCTGGCCACAGTGACTGGGGAGGGAGACAGGTTGGAAATGAAAAGAAGTTCCATTTGCTTAGCCATGACCACCCACTGGCTTTTGTTCTTGTCTGATATTTTATTTAGTCTACCATTTTGTATTTTCCACAAATGGCAACTTTGATCAAAATCTATTGAGCAGAGCGACATTTACTTACTTTCTTCAAGACATAAGGACACGGGCATTGATAGGTGGACCTTATGGATGCTGTCCTGGTTGAAATGAATGAGTCAAGTCTTTCCCTGTCCCCAGAGATCCATCCAGGGCCTTTCTGGACTGTATTTATTTAACAACGTAGTAGGTGAACCTACTATCATGAACCTACTATCCAACTGGAAAACCAAACTTTTGCCAGTAATGTACATCTATCTGGGTGCTCTCCCAAGATACAACCACTACCCTGGACCTGTGTTTTTGACGTCTTTGCTTTTTTAAAAAAACAGCATATTGAGATACAATTCACAATCCATTCAATTCACCTTTTTTAAAGGGTGTAAGTCAGTGAATTTTAATACATGTGCAGAGTTGCGCAACATCACCACTATTTAACTCCAGATCATTTCCATCACCCCTAAAAGAAACCCCATACCCACGAATAGCCACCAGTCCCCAGCCCTTCCTCCTTCAGCTTCTGCAACCACTAATCTACTTTCTGACTCTATGGATTTGCCTATTCTGGATCTTTCATGTCAATGAGATCATACATGCCTTTTGTGATCCAGTTCTTGCTCTTAGCTTAATGCTTTCAGATTTTAACCATGTTGTATCAAGAATAGGTTCTTTTTTTTTTTTCTTGACAATGTATATTCCACTGTACGGATGTACCACGTTTTGTTTACTGTTCACCAGTTGATGGATATTGGGTTTGTTTCCACTCTTGAGCTATTCGGAGTTATGGTGGGAACGTCCACGTTTGAGTTCTTATATGGCTGTGTGTTTTCATTTCTCTTGGGTCGACACCTATGGGTGGAATTGCTGGGCCGTACCATAGCTCTGGCTTGCACACTCATATAGCTGGGCATTTTGAAGAACCGCCAGACCTCCTTCCAAAGCAGCTGCCCGATTTGACATTCCCACCAGCAGCGTACAAGGGTTCCAGTTCCTCTACCAACACTTACTACTGCTGGTCTTTTTTAAAGCCGTCCTAGTGGCTGTGTTCTTGGCTTCTTCAGAAATCTTTTTATATCCAACACGTGTATGTCTAAAGAAACTACTGTTCCACTTTGCTTGCTTTTGAACCTTATATAAAGGGTGTCATTACAGTATATATTCTTCTGGGACTTACTTTCTCCACTCAGAATGATGCTTTTGATGCTTTTCTACATTGATGCGTAGAGCTGCGGTTCATTCATCAGTGTTTCATTTTGTGCCACTGCACACGCTGTACATCCTGCATCCGTTTATGCATCCCTTCTCCTGGCATGGGGTTGATTCCGCTTTATTATCTTAAAAATTGGGGATCCCTGGGTGGCGCAGCGGCTTGGCGCCTGCCTTTGGCCCAGGGCGCGATCCTGGAGACCCGGGATCGAATCCCACATCGGGCTCCCGGTGCTTGGAGCCTGCTTCTCCCTCTTCCTGTGTCTCTGCCTCTCTCTCTCTCTCTGTGACTATCAAAAAATAAATAAAATAAAATAAAATAAAATAAAATAATTTAAAAATGGTACTACTGGTACATCCTCCTGCACATGAATAGAAAGTTCTCCAAAGAAACAAAATGCCGTGTTGGAGAGTGTGTGGCAGTTTAAGTTACGAGATAGTTCCTAACTGCTTTGCAAAGTGGTTATGAGTTCCAAGGTGGACACGGGCTGTGTAGGAGAGAGATCCTTCTCTGATGTCCCTCATATCGTTAGGGACCCTCATGTTTGCTGAGTGACTAGGCGTATATATGTATCATCCCTTCGTGGCTCCGCTTGGCATCCCTCTGATGCCTATGAGGTCGAGCGTCACTTCCTATATTTATAGATGGCACGTTTCCTCCATGCGAGGCACCTGGTCATGCTTTCCCCCATTTTGCTAGTGAGTTGTTTGTTCTTTTCGTGTTGACTTACAAGAATTCTTTGCATATTCTTTGTACTAAGCCTTCCTTGGTTTCAGGAACTGCAAATATCTTGTCGCAGTTGATGGAATGTCTTTTCACTCCCTCGATGAGGTTTGTTGATGAAGTTCATTGTGTTAGAATCTGATGTCACAATCTTTGTGTTGTGGGTGGTTTGCTCTTTTGAGGCCTTGTTTACTGAGCCCTTCTTCCACCCCAAAATGAAAAGACATTTTCTTGTAAGGCTTTCACAGTTTCATTTTTGACTTTAAGTCTTAACCCATTCTGGGTTTACATTTATGAAAATTCAAAGCTACCATTATATGGGAGAGCAGGTTGTGCACTGCCCAACCCCAGGAGTGCTGGACCATTCCTCTCAGCCCTGGTAGGGTGTGAGTCAGGGACCCAGCCCTTTTCCTATATGGAAAACCAATTTTTCCAGCTCCATTGATTTAATAGGGAGATTTCTTCCTTGCATCATGTCACTACTGTCCTGTATCAGAGTTCCAAATACATGCGTCTCTGTTTCTGGATTCCTTTGGTCAACAAGTATCAATGGGCATTCATATTTGTATCCGTATGGGATTTATTTGGTCAGATCAAGTACGCTAAGTGGTTTGAGGAGCAATTCTGCATCATATCATCAAACTGATAACAGCAAGTTATTTCCTATCAGACTTAAAATTGTATTTTATCCCCCAAGGATAAATGCTACCAGTATTGGCCAACGGAAGGCTCAGTGACTCACGGCGATATAACAATCGAAATAAAAAGCGATACACTTTCCGAAGCCATCAGCATACGGGACTTCCTGGTCACTTTCAATCAGGTATTGTTGCCAGAGTGCTTTAGGCTCTCGGGGACAGAAGGCCCTACAGCACCCCTCAGGGGCTGCTTGCGATCCTACCAGAATGTCCTGCTCCTTCAGCCTTTTCTAGTTGGTCCGTTAGCATCAGCTGTCGGGGGGGGGGGGGGGAGGGTAGGGAGCCGTGTTATCAAGGGGCAGACCTCCTGCCCCGTTGCTGGAGCACGGGGATGGGGGAGCAGAGCAACCAACTCCAAGAGGCCATCAACAGCTGCCAACACCCCACTCAGGAGAAGTGGCAGTGGTCGTGGGGCAGGAGGAATAAAGTGTGTGGATGAAGCCCCAGAGGCCTCTCCAGGCTTTTTCAGAGCCTCTGGGACATGAGGGGTCCTGGCTTCTGAAGAAAGAGACGATCCTGTTCTCGCAAGCTGCCGAGAATCCCGTAAAGGCGCCTGGCAGGCCCCGGCTGGGGGGGTCCCAGGGCCATCCCCTGGAAATCCTGCTCCCTCTCAGAGGGAAGTCCTGCTAGCCTTCTGCTCTAGGGTGCACATGGCCTACAGAGAGCCTGGTCAGGCCCCTAAGGCCAGCCAGGTGGGGACAGGTCCCAGGAGGACCCCAAGCCCTGGGAGGGTGAGTAGGCCTGGGGCCTGTTCCGGGTGGTCAGGGTCATGTGACCGGGCGGCACCGAGATGCCCTTTCCTGCCCGCAGCCCCTGGCCCGCCAGGAGGAGCAGACCCGAGTGGTACGCCAGTTCCACTTCCACGGCTGGCCCGAGATCGGGATTCCAGCCGAGGGCAAAGGCATGATCGACCTCATCGCGGCCGTGCAGAAGCAGCAGCAACAGACGGGCAACCACCCCATCACGGTGCATTGCAGGTGAGCAGCCCTGGGCCCGGGGCGCCCCCTCCTGGTGGGGCACGTCCAGACTGCACGCTCCCCCCCTTCCTGCTCCCAGCGGTGTGATTTCCCTAGACTGTGTTGTCAACTTTCCCTTACACAGATGGCTTTACATAACCCCGTAAAGGTCACCGTCTTATATACATGCAGGACGCATTGTGGGGGGAGGAGCCAGGAGATGACTCAAACCCACATTTCCTTGAGCTTTTGCAGTCATCCAAAAACCTGCCAAGCACGACTCAGACAAACCCACTCCCGAACTTCAACTGCTTGTCTTCACCATGAAAGACGGTTCTGGCTCCGGCTGATGTGCCCACCCCTCCCTGTTCTGTCCCCCGCTGGGCTTGAGGAATCGAGTCAGTGCTACAGCACATCCTCACGCAGGTGGATTTTCTGGAGCCAACTCAAGGATGTCCAGGCTGGGATGGCTACCAAAGGCCTGCAGCCCCACCCTGGCCCCAAGCTTCTCAGCCCAGCTCCCAAGTCAGGTGCAAGGGAGGCCACAGGGAGGGATGTGCTCGGGGGAGTGCATGGAGGCAGCTGGGCATTCCCACCAAGGACCTTGATGAGCAGCATTACAAGGGGGAAGGGTGAATCTGACCAAATCTAAAGAGGTGCCAGCTCGCCGTCCTGCACCGACCCAGTTCTGGTGATGCCAGTCCTGTCCCATGCCAGCAGGGGACCTGGGCCACCACGACAAAGCTCTTCCTAGCAGGAGTTAGGGGGTATTTTCATTTTCTGGGGTGCTTATTTGCATCTAAAGTTGCACTTCCATTTCTTTTTCCACCCGTGGCTTCCACTTTTGGGTGATGGCCATTTGCTCCCACCCCACCCACCCCTCGCAGCCACCAGAGCCTGAGCTTATTAAGTTGGAGGGTTTGGAACTCTTTGCCTGGGACCAGGGTGGACTTCTGGCCTGGCCTGCAGGTGGGGCACACGCCTCTGTTTTGGGTCCTCCATAGGCGTCATTTCTTTTTTTTTTTTTTTAATAAATTTATTTTTTATTGGTGTTCAATTTGCCAACATATAGAATAACACCCAGTGCTCATCCCATCAAGTGCCCCCCTCAGTGCCCGTCACCCAGTCACCCCCACCCCCCGCCCACCTCCCTTTCTACCACCCCTAGTTCGTTTCCCAGAGTTAGGAGTCTTTATGTTCTGTCTCCCTTTCTGATATTTCCCACTCATTTTTTCTCCTTTCCCCTTTATTCCCTTTCACTATTTTTTATATTCCCCAAATGAATGAGACCATATAATGTTTGTCCTTCATTTATAATAAACTAGAAATGAGTTCCTTCATGTTCTCCTTCCATGGGCCCAGACTGAGTTTAGGACCAGGAATGCAAAGGTGAACAAGATCCTACAAGGGCAGACGTGGGGACAGGTCATTGAAATAGGACAGGAGCCTTAGAATCAGCTCACACACGGGGCTCTAGGCCCCGAGGGCTCTCTGGAAGAAGCCAGCCAAGCCTGTCCACTTTAGGCTTGGTCGCTTGGCTCTCTGTAGGGTGTCTTGTAGGGTTTATCCTGTTTATCAAGAAAAATGGTCCTCTTACAGGGAGTAGAGCCAGATCTTCATGCTGGAAAGTGTCCCTTATCTAACCTTTCCTGGAGGCAACCGCCTTCTGTCCTAATATCACACCTTATGAACCAGCACCTCTCAGAAGGTGGTCCCTAGCACAGAAGGAGAGTCTAGACAGAGATGACCTCTCCCTAAGCCTGAACCAGGAGGGTTTGCGTTTCTGACAAGTTCCCAGGCCATGCGGATGCTGCTGGTCCCGAGGACCCCACCCTGAGAACCACCGATCTACACAAGGAAGGAAGGAAATGGTTGCACTAGCTTGAAAGCACGTCACGGATCTCGATCCAACCCAAGAGAGACCTGTCCACTGCGATTGGGCAAGTGTTTTAGGAATTTCACATTTGCTGACTCTTGCTCAACATAGGTGATCGTTAGAAATCCAAGCTTTGATCACTTTGGGCGATGATGGCTTCTGGGCCGATGTGTAGGGATGGGCTCGGCCTGTCCCTTTCTCATGCCCCCCGGGGCGAGTCTGGTTGTCTGCATGAAGCACTTTTCCTCCGCAGTGCTGGAGCCGGGCGAACAGGTACCTTCATAGCACTCAGCAACATTTTGGAACGAGTCAAAGCCGAGGGCCTTTTAGACGTATTCCAAGCTGTGAAGAGTTTGCGACTTCAGAGACCACATATGGTGCAAACCCTGGTAAGAAACGCCGTGAGGAGGATGTTTGCGGAAGAACTGTCTCCTGTTGCATTTGGTATCTGTCTCATGAAAGGAGCTCGAGGGTGTGGGTCCGGGGGGAGCTTCCCAAGGGCACGGGCTCGTGGCACTCTTTGCAGTGACACTGAACGGATCCGCTGCCTTCCTGGCTGGGGACTGTCCCCTGGGCAGGACACGGGGGAAGGGTGCACTCATGACTTTAGACGTAAGACCCCTTGGAAGATGCACTGGTGACTAGCTGTCTGTGTCAAGTGACTCTCCCATTCTCTTTCATTCTGTGACCAATACACACACTTTCTGGTGTGCAGAAGACATGCTTCCTCGCCAAACTTGGCAACTGTTCTACCCCTGTAGGTGCAATTTCAAAAGTGGTTAGAGCACAGCACTTTCTCCAGGCTTCCTATTTTGAGATCTGCCCTCCCTGTCCACTCGCTCTGCAAGCTCACGGCATCCCGACTCAGCAGGCATAGAAGGCGGCAGGAGAGGCCTTCCACAACCTTCCTTCCCGTTGCAGGGGAAGCCCGACCACTAGAATCCCCAGAGCAGAGAGCGGGGTTCGCCTCCCCCGTCCAGGCTGTGCGGGAGCAGTTCTCACCCTGACCACACACTAGCCTGACTGGGAGGGTGTTCACATTCCCCCGTTGCCAGGGGGGCAGCAGCGTATTTAAAGCCTTCCCAGGGGGTCCCAAAGTGAAGATGGGTTTGAGAGCCACCACGAGTAAAGGAAACAGGGTACTCGCCAGGTCCCCACACCTCTGGACCCACACGCCCCTCTTGGGGCCGGACCATGACTGTGGTGGACACCTGAGAGCGAAAAGGAAAGGGCGTGAGGCCTCCTCCGCTCTCCTTAGAGCCCTGGTTCCCAGTGCAGACCGTCTTTCCTGCTAAAGCCCTGGAAGATGCTAGAAAGGTCTTTCTAAAAGTGATGCCTGAGAGCTGATACCTCCTAGGGGCATCACAAACTTGAATGACTTTGGGCATGGAAAAAACACAGGTGGACCCCTCCATGGAAGATTTTCTAGATCAAAATAATAATAGGAACGCCCTCCCGAAAATAGCCATTTTTAATTCTGAGCCAGACTCTTGCAGTTTCTTTGCTGACTGTTTTTCAGTCCACGACAGGCTCCTGCAGGCAGAGGGAGTGGCTTCGGTGCTGCCCGGCCCCCAGTTAAGTATAAAAGCCCAGCCACGGCGTTCCTCTGATGCTTGGTCTTTGGGCTGCCACCCCAAATTGACGGCTGGCCCCCATCCTGGCTCTGTAGACTTGAACAAGCTCCTTCCACTTTCTGGACTTCAGTTCCTTATCTGTGGGAAACGGGGTGATGGCACCTGCCCGTCGTTGACACGCACATCTGCTTGTGTGTGTCCACCAGGGGCCCACGGGTGTCTGGCCCAAGGAGGCCCCAGCCACTGGAGCAAAGAGCATCTCTTGTCCGGCTCAGCATACAAACACTTCCTTGCTTTTTAAGGGGCCTCAGCTCTCACAAATTCATCTGGTCTGGCCGACGTGTCCTATCTCCAAGAGCCTCTCCATCCAAGCGCCCTCCTGACTCAGCTCTCCTCTGGCCCACCGCCGCCTCTCCCGCACCCCTCCCTGGGAAGCTGCCTGTGGGTGTCCTCTCACTCGGCTCTGTACAATCTGGCCTGGTGGCACGTTGTAACGGAACATTTATAACCTGACTTTGAAAGTCAGCATCTAGCTTTCCGCATCATCAGGGCTCCACTTACGTGGTGATTCAGGAAATAAATGGAGGAGAGTTAACCATTTAAGCATCATGATGTCTGGCATCACATGCCAAGGAACCAGGTGCCTGACACGCATTGTTCTCATCTTGCCCTCACCGTATCCCTGTGCCTACTCTTACAAGGGACCTTCTGTTGTCACCTGCACGTGGGCGGTTAGGTCACCTGCCCAGGGTCTAAAGTGTCATAGTGAGATCCACCCCCGGCCTGCCTGCCATCGGCATCGGAGGGCTCACCTGCGACCCTCCATGCAGAGACCTAGCATTTGGCAGGGATATTTTGGAAGAGAGCACAGGGTGTGAGAAGGTAACAGGATAAGGAGGTGCTTGCTGACATGCACACTAGTTACTCTGCAGGTGGCCGCCCCGGCTCACAAACCAGTCCCCAGTAGCTGGCCATGCTGCAAGGCTCCTGGGATAGGCTTTAGGGCAACCGGCATTCCAAGGCTAAAAGTTTGTTGTTGCCCAGAAACATTTTCTGGAATGTTTGTGCCTTGATCAGAAATGTCTGTGACCTGAGGTGTGGCCCGTGTCAATCCCAATAAATCGCCAAAATACATGCCACTGATCACTGGCCACCAGTGATTCATGCTCAAGACACAGCGGGGCTGGGTCCCAGCTCTTGTGTTTGCTGCTAAAACAGAGTGATTAATGGCATCTCCACTTCCTCCCTGATTGGAGCCACCTTTGATGTGTGGCTGAAGGAACCTTCAAAATAGAAGAACGTGGAGAAGTCAAGTCAAAAGCCCTTTGCCTGTATGATACCTCATGAGTGTCGTGAGGATGTTTGCCTCTCTAAAGAGAGTCTATATATTTATTAAAACTTCCCTCCAAAAATTCACTTGTTTTCCTTCTGGGGATCTTGCCCCGGAAGGATCAAGGTCCTGATCAATGACCAGGTGGGGATCTTAGCAGCCAGTAGTGAAGACCCTGCAGCCCCTTCCTGGCTCCCCCGGTGACTTCCCTGTGGTCTCAAGACCACCTTCTGTCCATCTTTCCTTTCTCTGGAAAGACAAGCCCCATCCTCTGCTGCCCAGACTGACTGAGATGCCCGAAGGCCCAGGCAGGCCAGTGTTTGCCGTCTGTCCAGCCAGAAGCCTTTAGGCTCTTGTTCAACGTGTATTTAGAGAAGAGGCCAAACCCAGTGTGTTGGGAGAGAAGATGGGAAGGGTGGGAGGCCACACTTGGTCTCCCCTGCGCCCCAGGCCCCTCACAATAGGGCCCAACTGCCATGCGCCACTCGGCCGGCAAAGTACCAGGATCCGCCAGTGACCAGACCCTTTTACTCGAGAGGCAGGTTGGCTGCCGTCTGTTGTTACTCAGACCTTCGGGGTCCGCTCCCCATCTGCTTGTGGACCATCATGCACACAGTTTTCCAAAATCTCTGGCAGCTGCCATTGGCTCTGTCCCTTGCGTGTCTCCCTGTGGCGTGCCCATCATTGGCGGACAGGACAGGCCCGCGCGGCTGGCCCTCCATCCACCCACCACCCGGGCTCCCGGCCTTCCCCCTCCAGGAGCCGCGGGGAGGCAAGAGTCAAATGATCTTCAGCAGCGTTTTAATGAGTTAAGGACCTTAGATAGATAGAAGGCAACATTCTTCTGAATTTTAGTAAAATTTATATAAAACAATGTCCCCTTTTTAGAGTAAATGCAGCCTGGAGTTTCATCCTTTTTAACTTTCATGGATTACTTCTTTCCTATGTGGCTTATCTGAAGCCCAAAATTCTGGCTTTTCCCCATTTTCATTTCAAAAATAGCTTTAGGGGCACCAGGATGGCCCAGTCGAGTGCCTGACTCGTGGTTTTGGCTCAGGTCGTGATCTCAGGGTCGTGGGATCTCTTTCTCTCTACAATAAATAAATAAGCAAATCTTAAAAACAGCAACAAAAATCCAGCTTTATTTGGAAATGTTTCTGGGCACAGAAAGTAAATCGAGTAACCTGTCAGATTGTTTTATGTCTTCTTTTAAAATGTTTCTCTTAATTAAATTAATGGAATTAAAAAATATATATATATATATCGTTTTAACATATTCTTGTTTTTCTTTTCAGGAACAGTATGAATTCTGCTACAAAGTGGTACAAGATTTTATTGATATATTTTCTGATTATGCTAATTTCAAATGAAAATTCCTGCCTTAAAATATTTTTTAATTTAATGGTCAGTATATTTTATAAAGATCATGTTAATTTATTTCATAGTTGACATTAATACCCATCCTAATTTCTTTGTATATATTTTGTTATGCTTTAAAGGCCACCTGCTCTAAAGTCATTAAACCTTAAAGACCCCTTTTAAAAACTGGAATAATGTATTAAGGTCAAGTAATATCCCTTAAAATATATTTCTGCTAATATCAGTAAATATTTTAATTTTTGTGTTAGGTCCATCATAGCCTTTGATTTCACACATCCAGCGCCTCTAAATGTTAAAAATCTTAATATGCAACGTGTGCTTACGCAGGAGAGTAAACACAGAGCCCGCTGTCAAAGCGGTCGAGGACTCAAAAATCAGTTAAAAATTCTCTTTTCCTGACGCTGATTTTACAGCCCTGAGCAGAGGCATTTTGTGGAAGGGGAAATGTTCACGAAGATGCACTGTAAAGAGGGAATTCTGTGAAATCCTCCATCTCCTCTCATGTGGCTTATTTTTACATTTTTAAGATCACAGACTTTACAGCCTGATTCCAGGTCTAAAACACAATCGGCGTAGTTGGTGGCTGTAGAGTGACACTTAAACACGCGTTTACTCAAGGTCAGGTCCGCGCTGTCCCGGCTGGAGGAGGGGAGACGCAGTGCTGGTGGCGCGGTTCGTCCACGCAGTGAGGATACAAAACCCGTTACCGGGCTGTGCTCCCAGGTAGCCACCTGCTGTCTTCTGAGAATGCAACCAATGGCATTTGTCACCCTCGCCTCCCACTCCGCCACCGCCGCCCGGCTGGTCCTGAGCGATCCTAGAGGCTCAACACAAACCACTCCCGGTTCCTAACTTCTGATAAAGCCAAACACCTGGCTCTCACAGCTGCAAGGAGCACACGCTTGGGGAGATGACCACAAGCAGTTACGCTTTAAACTTTCTGAGAAGCATTTTGGTATTTAAAAAAAAAAAATCTTATAAAAGCTAAGATTGTTTGTAAGAAAAGTCTTTAAAAATCTAGATTTATACAGTTTTTTTTAAAGTCCCAGTCCTCAATATTTAAATGAAAGAAAAAGAGAGAGAACTCCTTACGTCTAAAAGCTAACTTATTTTTGAATAGAAATACTACTGAGATCTCTGACACTGGGTAATAACGATCTCACTGCCAGACAGGATTGATTTATGGGGCAAAAAGGAAAGGGAGGAAGGATGAATGTGGAAAAGTTTAATTTGTGACAGTGATCTTTCTATGGCCATTAGGTAGCAGATGAGCACAATATATATATATATATATATATATATATATATATATATATATATATATATATATATTTTAAAAAAGACACCTGTTCTAACTTACTAAAAGTGTTTAACATGTGCATTTGGGGTACATTTTTTTTTTTTTTGCTTTTTTAAAAGAAATAGAAAGGCCTTATTTGCCATTTCCACGAGAAGTGACTGCATCCTCCTATTGCACTGCTCATCCTGTGTCCATTCCTTGTGCACAATGCAAGCCCAGGGCTTGTTCCGTGCTGATAGCAGCCTCACGGTAATCAAGCCTCTGCTGCCCCTCTGAGCCCCAGCCCCCGGGCGAGAGGAGGTGCCAGCTGGAAGGGCATGAGCACAACGTTGTGACCGCTGCCACCGCCGCCGGCCACATCCCTGGGCTGCACACGCACTGCTGAATGCACCCCTCTCCTTCCCGGTACAACGAGACTGCGTGGGGGTCGAGGAAGAAAATGGAGGGAACTTTGCAAGATGCACCACCGGTTGGTCCCATATCTTTTCATGGTTAAAATCCCAAGTCTAAAGCCTTCCTTTGACTGAAGGAGAAGAGGGAGAACCAAGCTTTCATTCGGCACCAAACCTTAGAACCCGAGCCCACTAGTTGTGATGAGGGTGACTAGTATTGTGTCTGAGGGGTCAAAGTCAAAGTCCAGGCCATGGATTTGGGCCCAACCTAGGAGCCCTCATTAGAATCTGTCAGGCCTTTCAGTGGCCTACCTGGGCATCTCTTGGATGGTGATTAAGATCAACCTTATCAGGGGAGCCCCTGGGAATGCGCCCCATTTGTGTGTTCTTCTGTCCCCTGTGGCTACTGCAGGCATCCTGGGACCCCCCGGGGCCCTTCCAGTTCTGGAAACAAAGCAGAAGCCACTATCCCTTGGAGGCACTTGCCTTTCTGAGAGTCTAGGAATTGTAGCCTCATGGCCTCTGCCCAGAACCCCCAGGTCCTGGGCGCCCTCCGTCCCAACAGTCTCTTTGGGCGCTTGGGGACCGGCTACCCTACTGTGCCACCCAGAAAGCTGACCTCTTCTTCCCCCTCGGTCAAAGTAGGTCCGTTGTACATAACAAGCAGTGCCACGCTGGCGGCACTGACGACGCCGACTTCCCTTCACGTTTTCGTATGTTGCATGCGGTTGCATTCAAATGCCAAATAGCGATTAGGAGCCTACCGTTCTGATCGACAAGCTGTACGGTCACTGTGTGACTCACTTTACTGTTTCTCTCCTCGTGCTAGACGAATGAAGAATGCATACCAGTGTTTTAAAAAGTATTTTTATGTGTTTTTAAAAAACTTTTTAAAATGAGCCTGACATGTCTGTTTCAGCGTTCGGAGACATGGCCCATGTTATTTTTAAAAAATGTATGATTACTGATACTTTTGTTTAACTAAGTTGTGTTTAATTTATGTGCGGTCTTTATAATATATGTATGTATTCCCGTTTCAACTATCATGTTTTCTTTTATTACATCTATAATTTGATCTTGCTCTGATTATAATGCCAGTGAATGTTGCTGAATTCTTTGTATATGCAAATTGCAAGATCTAAAACATTCTGATGCAAGGATAAATCTTTACTTTGACTTCCAGCCTGTGTCTCTTTCTTCCACGAAGTCTCTTCATTGCATTCCTGTGCCTTACGTCCTTTTAGACAAGACATTCATTAGGAGGTAGACACTGATTTATATAGACCATTAATTTGGGACTTCTAGAATAGAGCTCAGCCCTGGCATGGAAACATCCCGGACACCGGGCACGGTGGCCATGGGGTTGGCCCAGCTCCCCGGTGCTCTTCAGAAGGCGTGAGCTGTGTGTGCAGCATGGAGTAAAAACTCGCCCTTCTGGGAGCCTGTGCTCCAATTAGAGTCCAAACTGGGCTCTGTGCTCGGAGCCATGGTTTCTCGGAGTCCCCAAGGAGGAGGACAAAATGCTTCAAGTCTAAGGGTGGATGGAATCAGAAAGGCCTTCCAACATTGCTTGGCCTCCCCAGATCTGAAAGCCTGCTAAGCCTCCCTTTTGCACATCCATATGTCTCTGATCATCCCCAAATCTCTCTCTGCGTCCCTGCCACCTGCACCTCCTTCCTGGACCCACAAGCCAGCATCCTCTTTCAGATATTCCAGGCCTGTCATGGAATTTAAACATATGCTTCTTATTGTTTGTTGTATTTTTTAAATACGTGTTATGAAGCTTGTTGTATTTGTTAAAACGGATGCTTTCATAACCTTTTATTCCCCTCTCTTCGCCCTTCCTGCCCCCAAATATCACCTGCTATGCAATGCCCTTTGCTCCTACAGGCCCTTTCGTTGTTGGGTGTTCCTTATGGGTCTGTCTGCATGTCCCTTATCAGCTCTAGGTACAGCAGGATGTGGGGGCAAGGGACCAGAAAAGTGAAGACGCAGACGAGTTGGGGGGGGGAGGTCTGGGAGAGGCGGGGTGGAGGCAAGAATGGGCATCCACCAGCCAACTGGGACCAGGTGACTCAACCAACCAACCTGACCAAGCCCACAGCCTCAGGGAAGGAAGGGACACTAGGCCAGCCTCGGAGGCACCCCCCCACCCCCACAACCACAACCACTCCAACAGATGGAAACATTCAAACATGATACCACATGCTAGTGACCTCGGACAGACTGGCAGGTTATAACGTCCACGTTCAAGGGAAGTGGCACCTCGCTAGGATTGGATGGTGTGGATTAGGGACGTGCTTTTTGGCAGGTTACGTGGCATTTCCAAGCACCGGAGGACTCCAGGATGAGATACGTCTGCATGTGAGAGAACTCATGTATGAAAACTAAACATCTTAGAAGTGACGAAACATGTCCCCTGTGTGGTGCCTTTTTGCTCAGCATTCTGTCTTAGTTTCTGGCCACATCCACACTGGCAGCTTCCTTACGTGGCTTTCGAGGGCTGCTTGGTGTTCTCTAAACCTCACAAACTCTGGTGGTCGTTAGCTTATTTCCATTGCCTTGTTGTGTTCCAGGGTCATGACGACAATGCTTGCACACATGCATGTTTGTTCTCATGTACACAGTACTTCTCTGGGAGAGCTTCCTAGGGGTGGAGTTTCTGGGTCTGCACATTTTAATATAAATCATCTTAAATATGAATAGCAACTGCAGAATTGCCCGAAGATGTCCCAACTCATTTGCCGCCCGTGGAACAGTGGTGCCCGTTTCCCTACACAGCACGAACCCTGGATAATATCAAACCTTTTAGTTTTTGCAAAACTGACAGGTGAAAAAATCCTGCTTCACTTCAAATTGCATTTCCCTAACTTCCAGGGGGTTGAGCATCTTTTCACACTTTTATTTCTTGTATTCTATCTGTGAATCACTGATTTGTAGTTTTTATTCGTCTTCCAAATTGTGTCCCTTGAATTTTCCTCATCGATTTATCGCCATTATTTAATCACATCGACATCAACACCGACCCTCTGTTATTCATGTTATACATATTTTCCTTTAATGCGTTAGAGGAGATTGTCGTTGGTGGCTGCTTACCGCCTTTTCCAGGAAGCTTTGGGCCTCACCAGCTTACAGATTTGGTTGAGGAACACAAGGTTGGTTCTTTCCAGCAGCCGGGCCCTCTGTGTGGCTCTTTCTTGGCAGTACCCGATAAACATACCGAATAGAACTTTAATTCCTATGAAATCATCATGCGGACATGAGGAGGGCCTTTGTGTGCACAAGTCACAGGCATTTTGTTCCTTTGTAAAGACCAGCACTCATGAACTCCCAACTGAATGCCCATGTGCCAGCATGACCCCATGATGGGGGAGGGCTGTGACCATGTCCTGGGGGGCCCGGGCTGTCCGCACAGTACGAATCGGGGAACTGTGGCTGGATTACCAGATCTGTGTCTGGGAGGATGACTCCAGCGGTTCATCCAGAGGAAGCTCCTGGAAAGCCCAGCTAATGCTAGTATCCCAGTCACGTATCTCAACTCATTTTTAGTGAAGAGGTGGACATTGTTTCCACAGTTGACATCTGCGATGTAGTCTATCTGTGCCAACTCGGGACACCTCACCCCGGTACAGTGCTGGGCAATTGAGGCCCAGGCCCCCCGTCCTGATTGGTGTGTAGGATTGAGGGGGGCCTCCCCTTCCTTTCTTCCTCAGCCCCTCCAGGTAGTGGTAAATTCCAGACACACCCAGACACCTGACCACCCTTCTCTACCTTTGGATAGAATGTCTTCCCCAGGACAAGCCCACTCACCACCAGCTCCCATCCCCCAGGACTTGGCTGCACACCCCCTCCCAGGACCTAGGACATCGTACTCAGGTGGCCAGAGAAAAGACTGAGCCACATGGATTTTCTTGGCCTTGTCTGGCAGCTGTGGGTGGAACCCTTGTCCTGGACCCACTGCTTCTGCTCAGACAGGTGAGATGTGGCCAGGGGTTCCTGGAGTGCCCGTGTCTAAATACGGGGCCACTCCCGCAGAGCTACTGCAAGGGCTCAGTGGCAGGGACCCAAGTCATAGTCTCAGCACGTCAGGCTTATAGAGACACAACCCAGCTGGCAAGGCAGGCCCTCAGCCCTGGTCTGTGCGCCCCCTCTCGGCTCGTAGTCCTGCCTTCTTTTCCTCAGAGCCTCCTTTAATGAAAATCTTGTGGGTTTTAAAATCTCACTTCCCAGACATCCAGCTGGGCACCTCGTCTGCCCGCGGTCCCTGATCTGCCCTTTGTGGGAGGACAAGGCTTAGTCCTGCAGAGGAGGCAGGCTGTCGGGCAGGGTTCCAGTGTCCCCAGAGCTGCACGCCATGTGTGAGCAGGATGACTACAGAGCAAGGAATGGGGACCCGAGCCAGCCTGGGAAACGGGGGACCCAGGGACACAGGCTTCCTCCAGGAGACTCCCCAGAACCAGATTGGGGGCTGGAGGGAATCACCTGTGAGGCTGGGAGGAGGACAGGGAGGTATGCAGTGTGTGTGTGTGTGTGCATGTTAGTATGAGTGTACGTGTGTGTGTGAGCATGTGTTAGTATGAGTGTGTAGTGTTAGTATGAGTGTCTATGTGTATGAGTGTGTGTAGGAGTGCATGTTAGTATGAGTGTGTAAGAGTGTGTGTCAGTATGGGTGTGGTTAGTATGAGCATCTATGTGTATGGGTGTGTGTAGGAGTGCATGTTAGTATGACTGTGGGAGCGTGTTAGTATGAGTGTGTGTGGGAGCATGTGTTAGTATGAGTATGTGGAGTGTATGAGCATGTGTGAGTGTGTGTAGGAGTGCATGTTAGTATGTGTGTGTGTGTAAGAGCATGTGTCAGTATGAGTGTGTGGAGTGTATGAGCATGCATGTGTATAAGTGTGTGTGTAGGAGTGTGTTAGTATGACTGTGTGTGTAGGAGCACGTGTTAGCATGACTGTGTGTAGGAGTGCCTGTTAGTATGTGAGTGTGCGTGTGTGTGTAGGAGCATGTGTTAGTATGAGTGTGTGGAGTCTTAGTTGAGCGTGTATGTGTAGGAGGGCATTAGTATGACTGTGTGTGGGAGCATGTGTTAGTAGGAGTATGTGGAGTGTTAGTATGAGCATGTGTGTGTAGGAGCGCGTTAGCATGACTGTGTGTAGGAGTGCCTGTTAGTATGTATGTGTGTGTGTAGGAGCGTGTGTTAGTAATAATGTGTGGAGTGTTAGTATGAGCGTGCATGTGTGTAGGAGTGCCTGTTAGTATGTGTGTGTTTGAGTGTGTGTAGGAGCAAGTCTTTGGAATCTGAGGCCCGGAGAAGTCACCAGTCCCCACAGCAGGGGGGTCTTCATTGCTCGCACCCTGTCCTCCGACACTAGGTTGGCCTAGCTGGTTCTTACCCGCTGATGCTCCCCCAATGCTCGTGAAACATGCGTCCCGTGGACACGTTTTATCAACCACTTGTTCGAATGAACTTCTCTAATCCGGTGCCTGCAGCCCCTAAAATGAAAACCAGGCTACGATGCTCTGGACATACTGCGCACTTACGAAGGTGAGGAAATACGCAGACTCATTGGAGTGAGATTTTTGGTTGGAACGGAACCCTCAAGGGTTTCTTAATTAACCAGTATGCCCCATTCCCCAGGCATGTGGCTAATTGAAATTTTTCTATATGCAATGTTCATAATTACTACTAAATCCAAAGTGTTGGCGGAACAACTTAATCATAGAAAAATCCCATTATTTTACCTTTTCTTGTACTTTGCCACCACAGCGACCATGTCTCACACCTTTAAACAAAGTGCCTTTTCTCATCAGGGCCGCACTTCCTAAACTACTCCCCCTTTTTCTGCTCCCCAGGATCCCACCCCGTCTGGCCCAGCTCAACCATCACCTGCCCCGTGGAACCTCCCAGGCATCCCCTCCTGGCCGCACCCCTGAGCCCCCCCAGCGCTCTTCTCCTTGGCCTTAGAACCTGTGCCAGGAGCCTCTACCGCTGCCCCACAGACGTGCCTGGATTCACGCATTTGTCCAGCAAATGTCTTTTATTCCGTGCACCTGGCCCCATGCCAGACACGATAGCAGAATGGACAGACAGGGACAGTGTCAGGGACAGCAGCCCTCTCCAGTCTTCGTCCCCGCGTCAAGCTGCCTGGATGGGTGAGCGGGGAGGACTCGGTGCTCTGCTTCCTAGTTCAGGGAACACGGAAAGGGGGATGGGACGAAGTGGACGTGGAGGTGGGGAGGCCCGGCAGGGCGCTGTCTGGGTGGGAGGCCCGAGGGGACACGGCTGTCCTTCGGGAGGGGAGCTTGTGTTGGTTCCTGAATAAGGTGGGAGCTGTGGGGGGAAGGCGGCCACCAGGCGCAGTCAGGGAAAGCACAGGCTGGGGGCAGATCCAGGAGAAAGCTTGGAACAGGGAAGAGGAAACCTCGAGAAGCTGTGAGAGCTGCGGCCGTTCGGAGACAAGTGGCTCCCCGGTTGGTGCCGTCCCAGGGCAGCCACACTGCAGCGGAAGAGGCCGGTGGCCCGTCAGATCCTCATCGGTGACCCCGACACCCTGCGACCAGGCCACACCTGGGCTCCCTTCCGTGCTAAGGATCCTGAGGACGGGCTGCCCGGTGCAGAGGACCAAACGCGTCCCCCCCGCGATGAGCCTGTTCATCTGCCCCTTCGTACTGTCTCCTGAGTGCCTGCCCGGGGCCAGGGACACAGGGACAGGAGCCCCGGCTCCACAGTCTGGCGGGGACACAGAGCAACAGAGAGCACGTACGGCGTGACGTGGCAAGTGCTGGCGTGGGTGACAGGGACGGGCCTCGGGCCAGGAGCTTCGTGGCTTGGTTCTGCCAAAGCAAAGGCCATTTCTGGGTCCCCACCCCCTGCCCGCCCCGACCCAAGGTCTACATCTTCCTTACGGTCTCAGGTCGGCAGATCTGTCTCAACAGACCATCCTGGGACAACACTCTAAGCCTTCTTTCCTTAAACACTCAGCATTATTTACAGAATTCCCTTTTAAATGTACCCAGATATTGTACTAGAATATATCACTAAACTGAACTTATCAGTTTCTGTTCCCCCTCTTCAGGTTCTTAGCTAAATATCTTCATCGTCCCGACGACTTCGGGTTCTTAATCTCTTGGGGCGTGCGTGGTCATTATCCTGTTTGGAAAGAAAAATGGGACTCTTAAGTAATTGAGACGAATAAATTTTTTTTTTTTTTTTTGTAAACAACTCTGTGCAAACACCCCAAATCCTTACTAAATGTGATGCAGAACTTCCGTTTTAGGAAATTAATTTTTAGGTTGGATAGTTCTTTTGAGATGTATCCTGGGAAAGTTGCTTTCGTTCTTTAAGATGTTTTGTTTTCACTACTTGGTTTTTAAAATTTAAATAGGAAACTTTGTAACTTATCCCTAATAGGTAATGAAAAAGGAAACTTCTCCACAAATATATGCATTTTTCCCCCCACTAATTAAAAAGTACCATTCAAAAAAGTTAATTCAAATGTATACACAGGACAAGACCTCTCGGGTCTCCTAAAGAATCTCTGCGTATGACGCGGACAGTCTCTCCGCACCCGGTGTGACCTATGACCCCCCGCTACGGCATCTGCTCCAAGGAGCTGAGGGAGGCTCACCCCTCAGGACAATTAGATAACACAACAGACCACCTGCCTTCTCAGAGCTGGTGGGGCATCTGCTCCTACTTTACACCAACCCCGCAGCCCATCATACAAGGACAAGATGGACTGTCATGTGGGGGATTCTTCGGAGGCCGACCCCACCAGCGACCTCACCAAGGAATCTTTAACACGCTATTGACGGGAGGGATGGGTCAGGAAGACAAAACATAAAAATCTAAAAAAAAAAAAAAATCGAAGGCCGAGTTTGAAAGCAAATGACCTGAAATCCCTGAATATCGATGGGAGGCGTCACCTACTACAGCACAGATGGCCTTCCGATGACCCAAAGATTGGGAGAAGGCCAAGCTGGTGACCCCCACACAGAGGACAACAGAATGGGCACCTCACATGCTATAAAGGGCGGAGTGGGATACGCTCTGTTTTCTCCGACCACCGTCACCCACTCTGCTCAAAGGGGCGGCAGGGGCACCCAATGACACCCCAGATGGGGACGTATGCCAGTACCATCACCATCATTCCAGCACGAGGTAAACAGATTTCTGCCTTTGCAGCAGGCACCGGACCAGGTCAAGCAGTAAGTTGCCCCGTGTACGTGAGAGCAGTGGCCCCAGTGCTGGCCTCTAGTCTCGAGACACGTGCCAAGTAACTTACGGCCCTCCCAAACTCGGAGCTGCTGAACCCCCTTCTTTTAAACTAACAAATTAGGGGCACCTGGGAGCTCCGCTGGTGAAACATCTGCCTTCAGCTCAGGTCATGATCGCGGGGTCCTGGGATCGAGCCCCGCATCAGGCTCCCTGCTCCTTCGAGGGCCTGCTTCTCCCTCTCCCTCTGCTTCTCCCCATACTCATGCTCTCTCTCTTTCTCACTCCTTAATAAATAAATGTATCTTTTAAATAAACAAATAAAATACTGAAAAAAAATTTCAAGTATTTCAAAATACTGAAAAAAAAAATCAAGTATTCCCCAGAAGGACACCGACTGAATTTAATCATGTGTCTTGGATTTACTCAGAGGACAGACAGCTCCTGTCCTGCCAAGGTGATGCCACATGAGCAGGCACTGAGGACCGCTGGCCTTATGGACACTCTTGACTTTCCTCTGTCCCAGCTTCTAAAGGAACTCCCGCCGAACCCAGACAGGCCAGGCCCACCTTTCCGCTTTAGTAAGTTTTGCTGAGCTAACGGGGAAACTGGAGACATCTATCTGGAATTTTCGTCCTGGGCATGTTGTAAAGCAGTCAGGAAGTACTGACCACATCAGCTCCTTGCTCGTCCTGAATGGCGTTTTCATAATGTCAGTTTTCTATTTGAAGTGGGATTCCCGAGACAGGTACAGCTAAACACAGCTAGGACCTGCCTCGTGGTTTAGACGCATGCTTCCTACACCGGTGCCACTAGGAGCTGCCAGCGTGCTCCACGTCGTGTTTTGTTTGCTTTTGCACACGGGACAAAAATTATATTGAGATGCTCTATGCTCATTAAAAAAAAGAAAGAAAAAAAGCAAGAAAGAAAGAAAGAAAGAAAGGGAGGAAGAAAGAAAAAAGAAAGAAAGAAAGAAAAACTGTCAATTACTTGCCTTTTTTGTATTTTCGGCACATCTCTTGGCACTCCGAGTTACTCTGTGACGGGGTTCGCTCTCCAAAGCATTTCCTCCAGGAGGGTCTGTGATTTTTCTGGATCTCAAACACTTCGGGGCTGAAGGCTGCCTCACGTCTTCCTCTTGCTCCTTCACGAGAGCACCCCCTCCTCTCTCCCCTTGCTTCTCCTCTGCTACGCCGGGCGAGGGCATCTTACTCGGCCTCGCAGATCGCAGACACATTCTACTTTCATGGGGGGCTTTGCCCCCAGAAGCAGAACTCTTGGCTCTGTCTTCTGGGCTTTGTGGCTTCGTCTCTTGGGAGGTCTTCAGGGGCTTCTTGTCACTTCTCTTTGTTTTCATCTTCTCTGCTGCGGCTGCTGCTGTAACAGGCTCGGGTCTTTGCTCTTCCACTTCCGTTTTATTGGGGCGTCTGGAGCGCAGGGACCTTCCCTAAAAATTTCAAGACACCCGCAGCATGCCAATCATGAGTAATACAGTTCTCACAATTCGACACGGACAGAGAGACGCACACAATCCAAGGGAACTTGAAAGAATTCGCCTGAAAAGTTTACAGTTGTTTTCTAAGGTGCCTGGAATCACTTTGCTCCAGGGAGAAATCCTCCCTACTGCTCAACCGTGAATAAGGCATGAGGTCTACACCTTATCACCACATCTGAGTGTCATAGGCGTCAAATCGGATTACAACACACATTAAAAGGGCACTCTAGAAAAATGCCCCCTTTTCAGGCAGTAAATGACTTCCTAATCCTTTACCAATCATTGCTGGAGCAGGACAGGAGAACTGGGATTTCTGGAAGTGGATTTACCAACTTCTCTCCGTGTAGGAGGAACCCTCTCTACCTCACAAGCCCAGCAGGTAGGCCGTTCTCAGGACACAAACCCCCACGCAGATTGTTCTAACCCCACGAAGACTGCTGCAGATCCCACTCCAGCCCAGTGCTCCTGCTGGTGGGGACTGGAACCACACAGGACTAAGCTCCCACCTGTTCTCGGGCGCTTTCCCACCCCTGCTGAGGAGCAGAACTCAATCAGTTCCTGAGAAACTCTGGTCAAAATGCGTAGTAGTCATTTTGACTACTTATTTTCCCCAGACTAGTCTCTCTAGAAATCCCAAAATGATTCTTTACCTTGGTCTGCAGTTATTCAGCATTGGATGCAGACCCCCCCACCCCCGGGAAAAGATATCCACAGAGACTCAAACCGAGGACAACTTACACCCAACATCAGCCCCCAGAGGAGAACCCCATCTGAGGGCCTATCATGACCACGGGACACCCAGTATCACCTGATGTGGCGGGGTCGTCCTTCCTACTTCTTGTCCCTTTGCCTCAGCCTCTCTGTGGCTCCTGGGCAGGTCTCCCATGACTTCTATCTTTTCCGCCACAACCCTCAGCTTCTTCACGGTCAGGGGCTGCTCCGGTGGGTCACATCCTTCTCTGGGAGCTGTCCTCCTGGAAGAAGGCTTCTGGGGTGGCTTCTCCTCTGCAGTGTCCTGGGCAGAAGTCGCAGAGCGCAGCCTCTTCATTCCTGTCTGACCTCCGTCCGTTCCTCGTTTCCTCTTGGAGGACAGGGAAACGCTGCCTTCACTTCCAGATTCTACAAGAGGGTCTCTCTGGCCCACCAGGTCGTCCACGGCTTTTCCTTTGGGGGCCCTGACCCCTCTTTGCAAAACCTTCACAGGTTTCCTTCTGTCTGGAGTTTGCTTTGGAGTTTCCTGGATGCTACTCGCCTCATCTCCCAGTCCCTTGGTGTGACCTGGCATTTGGGAGGACTCTTTGGAACTGGCCAGGTCTTCCGGGGCTTGAGACTTTTCTTTAGGTGCTCTCAGCTGATTTTTCCTGAGCATTACATTTTCTGCAGGGGCCGCTTTCTGCTTCGTGGTTTTATTCAACAGTTTGTTGTCTTCATCACCACCTCCTGGTTCTGTGTGTGAGTGTGTGGCTCCCCGCCGCGTTCGGGTGGGCTTCCTGAGAGCTGACGGCTCTTCCTCTGGGTCCACTTTCTTGGGAGAGGTCTTGAGGCGCCTTCTCCTACCTGTTGGCTTGTTGACTGGTTCTGCTACTGGAGATTTGCAGGGTACGCTGGTGGCTTTGCCATCAGCCATTGGGTCCTGGGTGTGCTCTGGGGTTTGGAGGAGCTCTCTGAGGCCAGCCAGGTCTTCTGAGGTCTGGACGTTTTTCTTGGGTGCTCTTGGTTGCCTCTTGCTTCCAGTTACATTTTCTGCAGAGTCCAGTTTCTGCTTTGGGATTGCCATGGACAATTTGGTATCTTCATCACCACCTCCTGGTTCTGTGTGTGAGTGTGTGGCTCCCCGCCGTGTTCGGGTGGGCTTCCTGAGAGCTGATGGCTCTTCCTCTACATCTACTTTCTGGGGAAAGGTGTTGAGTTGCCTTCTTCTACCTGTTGGCTTGTTGACTGGTTCTGCTACTGGAGATTTGCAGGGTACGCTGGTGGCTTTGCCATCAGCCATTGGGTCCTGGGTGTGCTCTGGGGTTTGGAGGAGCTCTCTGAGGCCAGCCAGGTCTTCTAAGGACTGGACATTTTTCTTAGGTGCTCTTGGCTGCCTCTTGCTTCCAGTTACATTTTCTGCAGAGTCCAGTTTCTGCTTTGGGATTGCCATGGACAATTTGGTATCTTCATCACCACCTCCTGGTTCTGTGTGTGAGTGTGTGGCTCCCCGCCGCGTTCGGGTGGGCTTCCTGAGAGCTGACGGCTCTTCCTCTACATCCACTTTCTGGGGAAAGGTGTTGAGTTGCCTCCTTCTACCTGTTGGCTTGTTGACTGATTCGGTTACTGGAGATTTGCAGGGCATTTTGGTGGCTTTGCCATCAGCCATTGGGTCCTGGGTGTGCTCTGGGGTTTGGAAGAGCTCTTTGAGACCAACCAGGTCTTCTAGAGAATGGGTCATTTTTTTGGGTGTTCTTGGCTGCTTCTTGCTTCCAGGTGCATTTTCTGCAAGGTTCAACTTTTGCTTTGGGGTTTTCTTGAACAATCTGATGTCTTTATCATCACCTCCTGGATCTTGCTCTGTGTGTGTGGCTTCCCCTGGCATTAGGATGGGCTTCCTGACAGGTGAGAGCTCTTTCTTTAAGTCCTCCTTCCCCAGAGGTATCTGGAGATATCTCTTCATGTGGGTTGGTGTGCTGCCTGTTTCTGCTGGTGGAGATTTGCAGGGCATTATTGTGTCTTTGACAATAGCTATTGGTTCCTTGCCGAGCTCTGGAGTTTGGAAGAGCTCTTTAAAACCGACCATGTCTTCCAGGAATTGAGCCTTTCCTTCCTTGCTTCTAGTTACATTTTCTACAGGGTCTAGCTTCTTTGGAGTTTCCTTAGACAATTTAATGTCATCATCACCACCTCCTAGTTCTCTGCGTGAGTGTGTGCTTTCCCCCAGCATTTGGGTGGGCTTCCCGAGAGAAGAGGGCTTTTCCTCTAGGTCCACCTCCTGGAGAGGGGTCTCGAGCTGTCTCCTTCTGATTGTTGGAGTGACTGAATCTGGTACTGGAGATCTGCAGGGTTCACTGGTGGTTTTGTCATCAGCCATTGGGTCTTGGCTGTGCTCTGGGGTTTGGAAGAGCTCTCTGAGGCCAGCCAGGTCTTCTAAGGACTGGATGTTTTTCTTAGGTGTTCTTGACCTTCTCTTGCTTCCAGTTACAATTTCTGCAAAGTCCAGTTTCTGTTTTGGAGTTTGGTTAAATAATTTGATGTCTTCATCATCACCATCTCCTGGTTTTCTGTGTGAGGGTGTACTTTCTCTCGGTGTTTGGGTGGGCTTCCTGAGAGCTGAGGGCTCTTCTTCTAGGTCCAGTTTCTGGAGAGGGATCTCGAGCTGCCTCCTTCTACTTGTTGGTGTGTTGACTGGTTCTGCTAATGGAGATTTGCAGGGTACGCTGGTGGCTTTGCCATCAGCCATTGGTTTATCTGTTTGGTTTGGTGTTTGCAAGAGCTCTCCGAGGCCAGCCAGGTCTTCTAAGGACTGGATGCTTTTCTTAGGTGTTCTTGACCTCTTCTTGCTTCCAGTTACATTTTCTGCAGAGTTCAGTTTCTGCTTTGGAGTTTGGTTAAACAATTTGATGCCTTCATCAGCACCTCCTGGTTCTCTGTGTGAGTTTGTGCTTTCCCTCGGTGTTTGGGTGGGCTTCCTGAGAGCTGAGGGCTCTTCTTCTAGGTCCAATTTCTGGAGAGGGATCTCGAGCTGCCTCCTTCTACTTGTTGGTGTGTTGACTGGTTCAGCTAATGGAGATTTGCAGGGTATGTTGCTGGTTTTGCCATCAGTCATTGGGTCCTGGGTGAGCTCTGGGGTTTGGAAGATTTCTCTGATGCCAGCCAGGTCTTCTAAGGACTGGATGTTTTTCTTAGGTGTTCTTGACCTCCTCTTGCTTCTAGTTACATTTTCTGCAGAGTACAGTTTCTGTTTGGGGGTATCCTTAAACCTTCTGATGCACTCATCATCAACTCCTGGTTCTTTATGTGAGTGTGTGTTTTCCCCCAGCATTTGGGTGGGCTTCCTGAGAGCTGAGGGCTCTTCTTCTGGGTCTACTTTCTGGAGAGGGGTCTTGATCTGCCTCCTTCTACTTGGTGTGTTGACTGGATCTGCTGGTGGAGATTTGCAGGGTACTTTGATGGTTTTGTCATCAGCCATTGGTTTATCTGTTTGGTTTGGTGTTTTAAAGAGCTCTCTGAGGCCAGCCAGGTCTTCTAAGGACTGGATGTTTTTCTTAGGTGTTCTTGACCTCCTCTTCCTCTTGCTTCCAGTTACATTTTCTGCAGAGTTCAGTTTCTGCTTTGGGGTTTGGTTAAACAATTTGATGTCTTCATCATCACCTCCTGGTTCTCCGTGTGACTGTGTGCTTTCCCTCGGTGTTTGGGTGGGCGTCCTGAGAGCTGAGGGCTCTTCCTCTAGGCCTACTTTCTGGAGAGGGGTCTTGACCTGCCTTCTTCTACTTGGTGTATTGCCTGGATCTGCTAGTGGAGATCTACAGGGTACTTTGGTGGTTTTGTCATCAGCCACTGGTTTATCTGTTTGGTTTGGTGTTTGCAAGAGCTCTCTGACGCCAACCAGGTCTTCTAAGGACTGGGCAGTTTTCTTAGATGTTCTTGACCTTCTCTTGCTTCCAGTTACAATTTCTGCAAAGTCCAGTTTCTGTTTTGGAGTTTGGTTAAGTAATTTGATGTCTTCATCATAACCATCTCCTGGTTCTCTGTGTGAGTGTGTGCTTTCCCTCGGTGTTTGGGTGGGCTTCCTGAAAGCTGAGGGCTCTTCCTCTAGGCCTACTTTCTGGAGAGGGATCTTGATCTGGCTCTTTCTGATTGTTGGTGTATTGACTGGATCTGCTGGTGGAGATTTGCAGGGTACTTTGATGGTTTTGTCATCAGCCATTGGTTTATCTGTTTGGTTTGGTGTTTTAAAGAGCTCTCTGAGGCCAGCCAGGTCTTCTAAGGACTGGATGTTTTTCTTAGGTGTTCTTGACCTCCTCTTCCTCTTGCTTCCAGTTACATTTTCTGCAGAGTTCAGTTTCTGCTTTGGGGTTTGGTTAAACAATTTGATGTCTTCATCATCACCTCCTGGTTCTCCGTGTGACTGTGTGCTTTCCCTCGGTGTTTGGGTGGGCGTCCTGAGAGCTGAGGGCTCTTCCTCTAGGCCTACTTTCTGGAGAGGGGTCTTGACCTGCCTCCTTCTACTTGGTGTATTGCCTGGATCTGCTAGTGGAGATCTACAGGGTACTTTGGTGGTTTTGTCATCAGCCACTGGTTTATCTGTTTGGTTTGGTGTTTGCAAGAGCTCTCTGACGCCAACCAGGTCTTCTAAGGACTGGGCAGTTTTCTTAGGTGTTCTTGACCTTCTCTTGCTTCCAGTTACAATTTCTGCAAAGTCCAGTTTCTGTTTTGGAGTTTGGTTAAATAATTTGATGTCTTCATCATCACCATCTCCTGGTTTTCTGTGTGAGGGTGTACTTTCTCTCGGTGTTTGGGTGGGCTTCCTGAGAGCTGAGGGCTCTTCTTCTAGGTCCAGTTTCTGGAGAGGGATCTCGAGCTGCCTCCTTCTACTTGTTGGTGTGTTGACTGGTTCTGCTAATGGAGATTTGCAGGGTACGCTGGTGGCTTTGCCATCAGCCATTGGTTTATCTGTTTGGTTTGGTGTTTGCAAGAGCTCTCCGAGGCCAGCCAGGTCTTCTAAGGACTGGATGCTTTTCTTAGGTGTTCTTGACCTCTTCTTGCTTCCAGTTACATTTTCTGCAGAGTTCAGTTTCTGCTTTGGAGTTTGGTTAAACAATTTGATGCCTTCATCAGCACCTCCTGGTTCTCTGTGTGAGTTTGTGCTTTCCCTCGGTGTTTGGGTGGGCTTCCTGAGAGCTGAGGGCTCTTCCTCTGGGTCTACTTTCTGGAGAGGGGTCTTGATCTGCCTCCTTCCACTTGTTGGTGTGTTGACTGGCTCTGCTAGTGGAGATCTGCAGGGTACTTTGGTAGTTTTGTCATCAGCCATTGGGTACTGAGTGTGTTCTGGGGTTTGGAAGAGCTCTTTGAGACCAACCAGGTCTTCTGGAGAATGGACCATTTTCTTGGGTGTTCTTGACCTCTTCTTGCTTCCAGTTACATATTCTGCAGAGTCCAGTTTCTGCTTTGGAGTTTCCTTGAACAATTTGATGCCTTCATCACCATTTCCTGGTTCTCTGTGTGAAAGCATGATTTTCCTTGGTGTTTGGGTGGGCTTCCTGAGAGCTGAGGGCTCTTCCTCTAGGTCCACCTTCTGGAGAGGGGTCTCGAGCTGCCTCCTTCTACTTGTTCTTGTGTTGACTGGTTCTGCTAGTGGAGATCTGCAGAGTACTTTGGTGGCTTTGCCATCAGCCAATGATTTATCTTTGTGGTTTGGCTTTTGGAAGAGCTCTCTGAGGTCAGCCAGGTCTTCTAAGGACTGGGCAGTTTTCTTGGGTGTTCTTGACCTCCTCTTGCTTTGAGTTACATCTTCTGCAGAGTCCAGTTTCCACTTTGGAGTTTCCTTGAACAATCTGATGTCTTCATCACCACCTCCTGATTCTCTGTGTGTGTGTGTGCTTTCTCTTGGAGTTCGGGTGGGCTTCCTGAGAGCTGAGGGCTCTTCCTCTCGTTCCACTCTCTGGGGAGAGGTCTTGAGCTGTATGTTCATCCTGGTTGGCATGCCAGCTACTTCTGGTTTTGAGGATTTCTGGCACTTTTCTGCAGTTTTATTTCCCACATCCATTCGTTCTTGGGTGTGAGTGGGGGTTTGGAGACCATGGAGGTCCCTCAGGTCTTTCTTGGGTTCTGGGTCCTCCCATCCTGTGAGGGTGGTCAAGTCTGCTACTGGTTCCCATTTTTGCTCTGAATATCTTCTTGATCTCCTCACAGCTACCTTCTTTGCAGAATTTTCTTCTGACTGGACAGCTTTTGTACATGCTTCAGAATAGCTCTCCCATTCCTCTGTCACTCCCTCCAGGTTCCGCCCTCGCTGTGGAGTTTTTGTCAGACGTTGTCCTGAAGTGCTCTCAGCAATGTCTGTTTCTGCTTCTCCGTCCTTGGGCCCTACACCTGGCATCCGTGTATTTCTGAGCTCCTCGGACCTTCGAAGCCTGTTTTCATTTGATGCCGACTTCCGAGGCTCTGCCCCTGATCCTGGAGTCTTCTCGATGTTTGTATTTACTCCAATAGCCTGTCGTCTGAGGGCAGGGCTTGCAGGACTTTGATTAGATGGCTCTTGTAATGCATTCTGACTCATGGAGAATACATTCTCTCCTACAGGAAACAGAAACACACATGAGAAATATATTCTGTTCCCTGTGTTGTGCCAATTTGGTATTTTACCTTTAGGAAACATTGCAGAAGAGCCAATAATTCAGCCTCCTACCCACCTGGCTAAGCATAGGAAGCTGGCTACTTATGTGGCCATAAGTCTGTCTTACATATGAACCACGTACACTTAAGAAGAATGGTATCCGGTGACATACAGTGGGATCATATTGAGGTGGTGATTAGGATCTACAGGGATTAGATAAAAGAAAAAAAATTCCTTAAGAAGGGTCTTTTGAAGACTGCATCTCTGTGTCTCAGGCACCTGAACACGGACATTCTTTTCTTCAAACACGAGAAGCAAAGAGCCATTTCTCCTGCTGAACCACCAAGATAACATGGCTTATCCTCAGTTTGCATGGGGTCTATACCGCATAGAAAACACCTGCTTGTCGGCATAGGAGGCACTGTTAGTGTAGTATGCGGTTTCCTCTATGACAGGTACAGGGTAACCAGTACTCAGTGAGAGGACGGTACTCAGTAGAGGACAAAAAGACACTCATTTCTCCCACCTCGGGCTCACACCAGGGCACAGACCATCCTGAAGATCAGAGGTGATAACTGCACAGTGCACACAGTATCTTTCTCTTTGGTTATGTACACTTATTTTGAGTTTGAGAAATTTATATAACCATGATAAAAGATCACTGTACCTCTCTGCAGGTCAACCCCTTTAAATAAAGAAGACAAAAGTGTACATAGGTAGCTTGCAATTATTACTCCATGGTATTAAAATTATTAACACAATTATTAGTTATATTAAATAAAATGTTATTATTACAATCATTCCTTTTTATGCCACTCGCTAAATAACATTAGTTCAACTGCTAGTAGGAAATTTCCCCAAACACAACAGAAGAGAGAAGCTACAAATGATTTTTTTTGGGAGGGGGGGCATCTAATGTAGAGAGATAATACAGCATCTGTTGTAAAACTAAAATAATAATACCATCTACAATTACTACTGAAAATACCAAAGCGCAAGGAAAGAAAAAACCAGTAAACCAACCCAAATCTTCTGAAGTGCACAGCAGAGGTTTTTCTCCTGAGTTAGGTACTTGAAACTCTTTTCCAAGGAGATCTTCTGAATTTGAAAAAGTTTTGGGACATAGGCTCATTGTTTGTAACTTCGCTTTCGCTGGAGTCTTGAACATTTCAGTTAACCCTGTGAGATGAGAATAATGGAAAAATAATTAACATATTGCTCATATGTGCCAACAGTCCTCACATACACCGGAGGAAGCAGCAGAGAGTGAACAGGGAATCACTCCCCAGAATTCTTGGAAGACGGGGTCACATTATAATAATGAACTCATTTGGGACACCTGGGTGGCTCCGTCAGTTAAGCATCTGCCTTTGGCTCAGGTCATGACCTCAGGGTCCTGGGATCCAGCCCCATGTCCAGCTTCCTGCTCAGAAAGGAGTTTGCTTTTCCCTCTGCCCCTCATCTTGCTTGTGCTTTCTCTCAAATAAATAAATAAAATCTTAAAAAAAAAAAAAAAAAAAAGAACTCATTTTGTTGAAGAAGAGCAATGGGAAGTTGGAATTATATCTCCTCTTCTTTGCCTTTCTTCTTGGTGAGAAAATCTAATGAAGGAAGCTGACATCTCAATCCTGCATGGTTGCCCCGATCCTGAGCAGCAGCCGGGAGACAGAGACTGGCCCCCGGTGCTTCCCCTCCAGACATCCAGGAACCTGGCACCCTCATGCTGCCTTGGAAAGTCATAGCTTATGTAGACCTGGTTATTATGCACAAATAAAACGTCCCAAATTTTTAAAAAATGACTGTCCATTGGGCTGCCCGTAATAGTATTGTCAAGTGATAATATCACCATCTTTTCATTTTAACACCCAAAAGTAATAATAACATAATCTCAGAAAAAAAGAATCAGACAGTACTTTAGCTGGAAGATCCAACTTTCTGAAACACTAAAATTATCCCACTTTTCTGACTTTTCTCATTTCGCCATCAATGGGTCAAAATGTTCTCAGTCTGGCATCTGTTTGCAAACTGTGTTTGGGAAGCCTATTTTGAAGGCCCTCAAATCAGCCAGTTCACTTAAAAATCTCATCCCTCTGCCCCTATTCGGGCCTTCCTTAAAATACCCAGAATCCAGTCTTCTGTACAGACTGATGTTTTGTCATGAAAGTTATTCATAGCAAGGGGTGGAAAAGTTGTTTGGCTTCCTAAGAAGGTGGTCTTAAAGGAAGATTGAGGAAATCCACTATCCTGGGTACAGAGTATTTGCATTTCTATTAATTTTACCTTAAATATATTTTTTGAGAATTGGTTTTCAATGCTTCAACACATAAGTATTAGTCATATTCACACGTGAACATAATTTACAAGGATACTCTTATGTGCACGTCTGCACACTGGGTGGCATAACTCGAAAATGTTTTTCTCATTGAGCACAATCTCAAAACTTCTGCATTTTTGTGATTTTTTTTTTAAAGCTAAATATGTTGATCAAACTGTGACTGTAATCACAGGGTACCTTATCTGGGTTATACATCTTTAAATGGGTTTCAGATGGGTTTTCCATCTTAAAATATGCCAGGAAGTAAAAACAAGATTCCATCTAATGGGAGGTGGACTCGGGTCTCACCTCCCTCCAAAAATGTTCAAGGCAGAAAGCAGTGGTCAAGCCATGTAGCATGGAATCCCAATCCTGGGCTCTTGCTTTGGTTCTATCCTAGAGCAACCATAAGGAAGTCACATCCCACTTTTACCCAGAATGGAAACACTGGCTCAATTGTTGATGCTTAAGGGAAACCTTCTTACAGGCCTTTGTTTCAAGACGTAGTTAAGCTTCATAAAGGAAGAAAATGGTGAAGCAGCAAAATATTGCTCAAACCAACTGCTCTAACTTTGGGACAATTGATTAGTAGAAATGCAGGGAAAGGGCAATTATAAGGGCAAGCCTGCTTTTTTCACCATAAAGCAGCTTCCAGTTCTCTCTAACCATGCTGCAATCCAAGGTAAAGATGTGCTTTTACCATTCATACCTGCTTCATGCAGGACTCATGATCCCTCATTATCAGCGGACCCGCTCTTCTTATCCAAATCAGCCTTCCCTTCCCTTCCCTTCCTTGAACCATCACGACCCCAGGCAGCTGACTAGATTGTTAATCCTCCCGTCCCTCTCACAGTAGACCCAACCGTAGCACCCACCCACATCCTCACAGGTAGGAGGATCAGAGGGCTACGGTTTGTAAGACCCAAGGCTAGGTTTTTTTACCTGAAAGGTCTTCATTAAAGTCCATTTTTTTGTTGAATACGAAGTTGTTCAGCATTCTGTAGGGTCGAGTGGGCACATTTACTTTCTCAATGTGAGCTTTCCCTATTATTATGGTACAGGGAGAGTTGGCATGGCCTGTGCTAAATTGATTGTGAACGTTGCTAACAGGCTTCTAGAAAAAATAGAACAAGATGAACAAAACGTCAAAGCATAAATCCACACTTCATGTAATCTTACAGGATAGTATGTGCTGAAAGAGTGATTCCTACCTTTGGTGTATTCATTCTTCTTTGCCTTTTGTTCAGTTGTCTTTGGGGGCCGTGTTTAACCACTTTAGCTTGTGTTTGTTTGGCACCAAGTTTTACTATGTCTGCCCACGATTTTGCCACTGTCAGAAGGAAAGTGTGTTGAAACGTTTCCATTTTTTTAAATAATAAATTTATTTTTTATTGGTGTTCAATTTGCCAACATACAGAATAACACCCAGTGCTCATCCCGTCAAGTGCCCCCCTCAGTGCCCGTCACCCATTCACCACCCCCACCCCCAGTTCGTTTCCCAGAGTTAGGAGTCTTCATGTTCTGTCTCCCTTTCTGATATTTCCAAACCAGCATTCATGAGAACATTTACCTTAAGACCTAACCTGCTAACACAACACTCACCAATTAAATTGGCTTCCGAAGCACCACTCCTTCTTCTGGAATAAATCATCTGCAAGATTTCATGTTGGCTTCGATCGATGGAAGTTCTCTTTGAAGGCAAGTTGCCACTCCTCCTCCCTCCCCTCTTGGGAATATCTGTGTGATGAGGAGATTTGCTGCCCCCAGGGACCGAGGCCACCTTGCATGACCTACGGCGTGTGTCAGTAGCAACTGGAGAAGTTTGCATAGGATCACGAGCTGGAGATCCCTTACGCTGGGGTTGTGTGGTCACTTCCAGTTGGTTTTCTGAAGAATCTTCTTTTCCTGATGGTGGGGGGCATTCCTGACGGGATTTAAATGTTCATAAGAAAGCTTACCACCAACGGAACATCTCTGTGGTGAAAACCCTCCCCAATGAAGAAGTTTAGCTGTTTAAAGCACCAAAACGTTTCAACCACTGTCTGTCAAGTGTCAGGTAGAAATGGGAGTCTGTGGCCCCTGCTTTAAGAAAAAACAGGATGGAGAGAAAAAACAGCAAATAAATCTTAATTGGGGTAATTCGGAAAAAGTGGAAGGAATCTCCTAAGGAGTGACCAGTGAGCCTGCTCTCATCTGAATTGGCAAAGAGCACCATCTGTGGGTGTTTAACCCTGGTTGGTCTACACGGGAAAGAAGGCTGCTCATTTCTGGGAGCCAGCATGAAAAGATTTGGTATGAACAGAAATTAAAGACTGCCCAGGCCCTCTGATGGGGATGAGCTGTGGGGCCATATCTCTCTAGAGACCTAAAGTCAAGAGGACAACAGAGTCTAGGGTAGGTGAATGAAAATTCTAACTAGATGATGGTCAAAATCATTGGTGTGTTGCCATCCAAGACTTTCCTTTACACCTTACACACCTTATAATTCTAAAAGAAAAAAAAAAAGCCTTATGGTTATGTGTCATGAGGTCTCCAGTTTCCTTGTAATTGCTAGTGTTTTTATTAAAGACTTTATTGACTTATTTAGAGAGAGAGAGAGCACGCAAGAGAGCACCAGAGTGGAGGGAGGGGCAGAGGAAGAGGGAGGGTCTCAAGCAGACTCCCCAGCTGAGTGAGGAGCTGGGCACAGGGCTCGACATCATGACTTGAGCCAAAAATCAAGAGTCGGATGCCTAACTGACTGAGCCACCCAGGTGCCAGTGTAATTGCTAGTTTTTACTAAAACCCTCGAGGGGGATGCTTGGATGGCTCAGGGCGTGATCCTGGGATCCGGGATCGAGTCCCACATCAGGCTCCTTGCACGGAGCCTACTTCTCCTTCTGCCTGTGTCTCTGCCTCTCTCTCTGTGTGTGTGTGTCTCTCATGAATAAATAAATAAAATCTAAAAAATAAAAAAATTAAAAAAAAATAAAATCCTCGGGGGATCACCTGTAAGCCTGGCTGGCCTTAGGAGGCCCCTGCAGGAGAAGGCGGCCCTGAGGGCTCGCCCGTGCTCAGCCATCTTAGAATTGTGCTAAGGAGCCCCGTGAAGGAGCTCTCCTTGACACACATATATATTTTTTTACTTTTTTATCAGAAAGAAAAAGGGTCTTCATAATAATTGTACCAGTGGGGGGCATTTGGAAAGGCTGTGTCACAGGGATGAGTGAGAATGTTGGTTGCCCAACATACCTTGATGATTTTCTTCAGGACAGGTGGGGTGTGGCTTACAAGAGACCTTCTTGGTGTTTCTCCTCTCTTGAGAGGTGTGTTAGGAGGTAAGTTTTCATCAAATAACTCCGGTTTCAGACGACCACCAAAGGAGACCCGCCTTCTTTTCAGGGGTATTCCCTCAATCTTATCTAAAGTAACGAATACAAAGGAGGAGAAGGAATGAAAGACATACGCTCAGGACTTGTTTCAGGTTGCTGTTAGAGACAAACCACAGGTGAAGTCCCCCGAAATCTAACACCACAGCATTTCACCCCTTTGTACTGCTGAGAATCCGGAGCTGCTTCAAGAGCTCAGGAGAGACCCAGGGACAAATCAACAAAAACGTCAAGTCCCGGCTGGATAGGGCAAAGATTTCCTATAAAAGGGTGAAAAACCCTGTGTGGACAGAGGTTGGTAAAGGGATTGGTCTGGACTGGTGGCTTCTACTTCTCAACAGAGATGGATGTTTCCACAGTGACCTGAGAGGGTTTTTTCAAAAGACTTGTGTGAACTCGGGCTCACCCAGACCTACCTAGTGAGAAGTCATGAACTTGAAAACCTCTCCAAGTGACTCAAACAGGCGATTCATGGAGTCCACCACACATCCTTATGAGCCAGCCCTCGACATAAATCCCTGGTCTGAGGGATGCCCTTTCTGAGACTCGGGGACATGTGATGGATACGTGCGGGTTTGATTTCAGAGAGTCGCACACCTTGCACGCAGAGCCTCTGCTGAAGGGGCCCAGGCAGTAAGCCTGCTACTTCAGAACACCCACAGAGCCTCCCCCACCGAAAAGCACGGAGAGAGCCCAGGAGGTACCAAGCCTCCTCCAGAGGTCAGAGCTCTGTAACCCACTGTGTGACTTAAGGCTGTCAACTCCCTATTTGCAAGAGGGAAATGACAGGAACGCCCATCCTGTGGGCACCCCTGCTGCCTGCATAGACCATCAAGTGTGAATGCCTGATGCATGAACCCATGGGTATAGTCGGGAATTTATATGAAACACTGGACTATCTATGTGTAGATGCATGGGCTGCTAGTATAGATGAAATCATATGTATATGAATATATATGTGCAATTCTCCTACGCTAGTAGGAGACCTTGAGAAATACCCGAGATACCCCATATTTTAACAGTTCCAAGGGATTTCCCTGGACTTCATTCAAAGGAGCAAACTCCTAGGATACAGGTACGTATGGTTCAGAATTAAAACCTTTGTGAAAAGCAATTATGCTTCTTAGGCTTATCTTCCTTCCTATCTTCCTATAGGTAGAGAGAGAATCCAACATGTCTTTGGATCCCCTTGAGATCCCTGGCTGTGTTCCTCCCGGACAACCCACACTTCCTCTGGAGCCCCTCGTTACGACTCTCCAGGACGAGCCCATCAGAGTAGGCACATATGGCTGCCTCATGAGCGCACCTCCACACCTCACAGACTCTCCACCACAGTGAAGCCACTACGGAGCGAAGGAAGGCCTCATGAATCTAGATACGAGGTAGGTGTGAGCTTGTGGGAGAAAATAAATGCAGTTAGGTAAACTTACTATTGGAGTCACCAAAGTTGCTGGTATCAACTGAACTATGACCAGGTAACTCAGAGCACGTGTGCCCAGCTGTGGCGCCCACTTTCTCAGGTTGGTGGACAGAAACTCCTTGAATCTTCCTTTCAACTTGAACGGGCAACGGAGCCAAAATAGTGTGATTCTGAGTTTCTGTTTCTGCGGTAACAATGTCCACACTGGGAGGTACACTCCTCTTCTTTTTGGAAAAGAGTTTTTCTGGTGTGTCTTCAAAATTATCAGCATTTTCAACTTTAGCGGGTGTTTGATTTCCGGCTAAGAACTTCCTAGGAGTAAACGTTTCATTCTCTGTCCCGAAGCCTTCCCTCTGATCCAGATTCATGGATTCACTTCCACTGGTAACACTCATGTCTTCACTCCGACGTTTTCGGGAGGAACTGTGTGGGGAACGTTGGGCCAGGGTCTTGGCTCTTGTCATCTCCTTAGGAGGGATGCTGGGACTCATGGCCTCCTTGGGATTCTGAGCAGCGTCCTCATCGTTTCTTCTGTCTTCAGTCAGGCTAATTCCTTGTTTCCCCAAAACAGAGTCTGCCTTGATTTGGGTGAATCGGCCCGATCTGGGTCTGGATTTAAGGGAGACCGGGACTTGTGTTCCGTCTTGTAAACCACCAGAACATTCGTTCTCCGGGGCAGGATGACTCTCTGATCCTGATTTTTTACTGCTCTGCAGAACATTTCCTTTTTCTGATCTCACATCAAACTCTTCCTTCATTGACACATAAAGCTTCCTAAAGGGAGACTCATGGTTTTCACTATTCTCAAGACACCTTGTAGAGGGGAAAGACTTCAATTTTCTATTACAGCTCACTAAGGGTACGCTGGAATCTTCCTTATAATCCCTAGCTGTAGGATCTGTCACATTTCTGTAGTTCTCTCCAGGCGGTTCTGAGGAATGAACAACATCAAGAGTTTGGCTGGCAACATGATCTCCAGAGCCATCCAAGACTGTGCTGGCTGCTTTGCCATTCTTCACGTGCACCAGAGGACTTCCTGAAACATCTTCAGAGACTTTTGAACGGGCACTGGAATCTTGAACTTTCCCATCTTGGCAATGAGTTATGAAACAAGAAACAGAAAGTTCTTACTGAAAAGTTCTGTACTTATTGAACAGAAAGTTCTTAGTCTCAATGATTAACATTGTGCAGTATTCAAATTTTAAAATCGTTTCAAAGTGTCTTATAATCTAGCTTTTCACTGAGCCTACAAATTACTTAAGGCCCAAAATGTGTGACAAAAGCATTCTGATACTCGAAGTATGATACAAACAAATAAGTCACATCAGCCTCCTATAACCAATACGAGGGATCACATGCTATTACTCCACGAAATTCAGCTGACCGCTGTGTTATTTAATTATATCTGGACACTCCGATAAGCATGGTGCCCTATTCCTCACTTGAGGAAAAAGTTAACTCAGTGTCTGCCTATTTGTTACGTTAAGTAACACAACTTCCTAACTTATATGAACCTTGATGTGGAATGTTTGTGTTCTTGTTGTCTCTTCCTTGCCCTGACACTACACGGAGATCTGATCTTGCAGGATCCAGAATAAAATCAAAAAACTACTAACCAGGATCAGAAGAGAAGCTAGATCTGGAGACCCGGAGCAGAGATTCCTGTGAATTGGCAAAAGACAAACAGCGATTTAGGTCCTTTTTTTTTTTTTCAAATACCAACAGTCATATTTATGAAAATATTCTTGCTATGGATGCTCTTCCTTGCCAGACTGCTCTTATAGGAATTTTAGAGACTTTGAGAAATGAGCCAAAGACATTCAGGGACAAGTGCTCACAAGACAAGTATTTCTTAACTGATTTTAAAAACAAACTTGAAGCTCCAAATTGTATAAATGGAACCTCAGTTGAGTTTTTCTAACTTCCTCAAACATCTTTCTCATCACCCTATGAAAGAACCAAAACTAAAATTAAACGTCACCTACACTGGGCATCTGTGAACTTTACAAGGGTGCAGAATTACTGACTTAAGATTTAGCCTTATCAGAAGAGGCTGCAGGACCTGTGAGTGAGCTGGGGCCCCCCCTTTGGCCTGTTTGCTCAGGTTGGCAGGTGCAGCCGACAGCCGGATGTTCAGGCGAAAGTGAAACCAGCAGGCCACAGGCGCCTCTGAACCCAGCAATCGGCTCCAATGTTCTGACCTGGCCCCCAACAGCTGTCTTCACAAACTGTCAGGAAATTTTTTAGGGGGCTAGGAACAACCACAGAATAACAGCGACATAAGGTATAAAATTTCAATGTTGCTTCAAAGAAGGAAAACTATCTCATCTGAATTATTATGGGGGAAAACAACCACAAAATATACCCAAAAGCAAATAACTTCTTTCTTCAATCAATTTCAGATTTCTTGGAATTTAACACGTTGTTTCTCAAACTCGCCAGGTGAGGGATCGGTTTCTAATTTCTAATTAGAAGTGGGCCAATTTTAGGACTAAACCACAAAAATGAATTAAAATGTAAAAAATGTATACAAAATATAATCATATAAGCCCGTTTTTTGTAATGTCATATTCCATAGACATAAAAAAATCACTGTCAAACACGTTCTAAGTATTCAGTTTCAATATTGACTTTATCACAATCCAGACAATCCTATCACAATAGGCCATTGAGACCACTTCTAACTTGAAGTCCAGCTTTTTGGTTGGTGCCCTAATACCTACCAACAAAGTAGGTAGAAAACCTCAAAAGGTAGCTTTCCCCCCAAAGCCCATGAGGGGCAAGGTCACCAACAAGGCCATTCCTCTAGGGAGGAAGCAGCACCTTGCAGGAGCAGAGATCTCTAGTTGAAGGCCCTCCTGCTAATTTCAGGAGCAAGTACAATATGACTTTTTAAGCCAGTGAATTACGGCCTGGTCACAGGAGACCAGCTAGGGTAGCTCATAAAGGATAGAAATTCTCAGGACATGTCCTACTAAGTCTCCAAGGATGGGGACAGAATTGCATTCTGGTAAGCCGCACCGTCCGGCTAGAGATAGGTAATAAGATTCTCTTCTCACATGACACGGTGTGTAACACTCCCCCAGTGGCACGGGTTGTCTCTCCACCAAAATTAGAAAGCATGCCTGGTACTCACAGCTCTGATGTGATCATTTCAGATGCATTGAAATGGAGGAGTACAATAACCGGAAGATAACACGAGCCACTAATCTAGTTCCTACATTTTTTTTTCCTTTAAGATTTTATTTATTTATTTGACAGAGAGAGAGAGAGAAAGAGCACACGCAGGGAGTGAGGGGCAGAGAGAGAGCAGCAGGCTCTCCACTGAGCAAGAAGCCTGACACGGGGGCTCAATCCCAGGACTCTGGGATCATGACTTGAGCCGAAGGCAGATGCTTCACCCAATGAGCCACCCAGGCGGCCTAGTTCTCAGATTTTAATTTTAATTCTATGTGATGGGCTGTCCTAACTAAAGGTTTGCAAGAAGAGCAGGTCGTGAGATACTCCAGAAGCCTTTGGACCAAAGTGTAAGACTTAACTTAGTCCTCTCATTGTGAAAATAAAAAGCATAGTTGTAAATTATTCCGCTATGTCTAAGTTCAACTTGTTTAAGACCTCAGGCACATGTCCCTCTCATAACTGGCAAGTCACCCTCCCTTGTGAGACACCATTCATCGACGTGCATATAAATGATCTCACGCTGTCATGCAGAAGAATCAGAGCCCAAAGTTGGATAATACCCCCCATCACCTGTTTGCGTTTTCGTCCTGGGCATTCAGTTGACTTGCTTCCATTCTGATGAATTTCGTTTTCATACCTGAAGTGCACAGAAGGACAGATACATACTCAGATTCAAGATCTGTAACTCACGGTAAAGCCTCCTTATCTGATTAATGTCCAGGGAGCAAGGAATAAACTGCAGGTTTTATTCAAGATCAGAACCTTATTCACGGAAATAAATGTAGAGTGAGAAAAGATCTTACACCGAAAACTTTGATACGTTGCCTCAAATTTCTTTTGGAACGTTACTGTCGGAGGCTGGGACCCAGATTAATTTCTGAACACTGACCAGCTAGTTGTGTGATTTCAATAATACCTGTGTACCTCCTCTGTGAGAACCTACTGACTAGGAGAGCCAACTAGATTTCCACCGATGTACATCCATGGAAATCATCTGAGGCCTTGGAAGGTCACCCAGGATGCCCAGCGGCACCTGAGGCCTGAGGCACGTTGTGATGTCACCTACTGCAGGGTCACCGCAGAGCCACCATGTACCTTAGGGTCACGGTGACCTTCTCTTTCCTGCCTACTGCATCTGTATCTGAAGAAAGACTGGCACATTCTTGACTATGTAGACAGACGTAGCAACATACCCAGTCCTTCTACTGGACCTGGGCACAATTCAGAGAACAACCTTCTATGGATATAGTGAACCTGGCCTCAGTGAGGTGATCCGAAACAGCCGGCTGTCTGGAATTAGTTCTCATGGTCACAGAGTTCATGGTTAAGTCCTTCTTCCTAAGACTCCTTCCCCACTCTTGTGTTGGAGGTATTGAATTATCTTAATTAATCTCAATCTGAACAGCATCTCATTTTGGGGAACACATTCTGATCTCCATTCCACATCAAATACTTCCTACCTAGAAGTCTGTTCGAGAAGCATTGCCTTTGAGAAATGAAGAAGGCAAATTCTTCACAGAGGCACACAGAGAAAGAAACGACCGATTGAACAAACAGAAAATATCTCTTTAATGCGACTGGAGGTAATGAGGTTGGCATTCCATTTGGCAGCATGGATGACCAAAAGGACCTGACTATGTGATGCCTATGAGAGACACAATGAATAATCGATGGCACCTACGGGATGAACGTGGCAGGATGGGAGAGGACACGCCATGCATACAATAGCCAAAAAAGAGACGGAGGGGGGGTTACACTAACGTCAGACAAGATATATTTCAAGATAAAAACTGTTCACGGACATCAAGCATATTTTATGATGATAAAAAGATCAACCTATCCAGAAGATAAACCAATTGTAAAGTAACGTGGGTGGAATAGCTGGTTCCAAGAGACAATCTAAACCTTAAGGATTATGAAAAGTTGAAAACAACGTGCCAGAAAATATGATCCTATGCAATCACTGATAAAGAGCATTACTAAAGCTACAGAGTATCTCAGAAAGATAAGAGATAGAGCTTCATCCACCTGGAGAGAATTCTAAATTTCAACACACAATCTAGCCTCAGCATATAGAGAGCAAAAACAGAAAAAAAATCGTCAATGTGTGATTTCGACCTACCGGCCCGAGTAAGAATCAAGGGGTAAATCACTGATTCTAGAGCTGGAGAGTTGAATCTAATGGACATATATGGACAGAACATAGCACCTGGGAGCACATTCGTTTCAAACACACAGGAGAAATCAGCACAAAAGTCACAAAGCAGGCCCCTGGTCATCTGGTCATAAAGCAAGCCCCCGACTCACTTCAAAAACTGGAAATTTCCTAAATGTCCATCCAGAATGAAAAAATTGTGTATAATTGCGTATGTAACTGTGACATTACTTCAATGAGATACTTATGATGCAGCAAGAAAGAACAAACTGGGACATCCACGGTCTGCATCTCACCAGAAGTCAGTTACAAGTACATTCTTCATTATTCCAAATTTATGGAGTTTTAACAAAGACAGACAAAACCACAGTGGTTAGAGATGCATGCTTAGGTAGCCAAATTCCAAAGACTTTATGTTATCAGAAAAGCCACTCAGGTGGTTTACTTGGTGAGGGAAGGAAGTAGTGATTAGCAGACATATTAAGAAGGTTCTGGGTGATGTGTATGGCTTGGGCGGTGTATTAGTTTGCTAGGGCTGCCGCAACAAGATGCCACACACTTAGTGGCTTCAACACGGAAATGTATTTTCTCACAGTTCTGGAGGCTGGAAGTCCGAGATCAAGGTGTTGGCGGGACTCCTCCCTCCTGAGGCTGCTCTGCTGGGCTTGCTAGGGCCGCCCCTCCGAGCACCTGCTCCCTTTCTTCTGTGTCCTAATCTCTTCTTACAAGGACATCAGTCAGATTGGATTAGGGCCCGCCCTAAGGCCTCGAATTGGCTTAATCATCTCTTTAAAGACCCCGTCTCCAAATACAGTCATATTCTGGGTGCTGGGGGTTAAGCTTTCAACATAGGAAATGCGAAGGGACACAATTCAGTGCATAACGGATGATAATCACCACGGTGCTCACTCCACCATAAGCTGAGTGGACATCTGGTGTCTTTCCCCATGAGCCTCTTCTACTTTTTTTTTTTTTTTTAAAAGATTTTATTTATTCATGAGAGACAAGAGAGAGAGGCAGAGACACAGGCAGAGGGAGAAGCGGGCTCCCTGCAAGGAGTCCAGGACCCTGGGATCATGCCCTGAGCCAAATGCAGACATTCTACCCCTGAGCCACCCAGCTGTCCTGCCGTTTTAAAGATTTTGTTTATTCAGTCTTCTACTTTAAAATGAAACCAAAACTGAAAAATTATATGGTTTCACAACACTTGCAACAAAATAAACCCCACGAGGATCTGGTCACCCCTCTTTGGCTCCGTTGGGGGCACTCAGATCCTCCAAGGGGATCACACGAGCCCCAGGTGTCATTCCTTCTATACCCAGGTGACTCCAGACTGAGAACCAGTGGGGAGGGGCGACCTCAAGCACTCTGACGTCATCAGCATCACAGAAAAATCCCAGAAGTCTAGTTTTGGAGCATCAGAAGGTCTGCTTATGCCGAGAATGACTAGTTTTTAGTTCTCACCCACCTGAAAGATCGATCAACAATAGTGATCACATCTCCGTGCTTTAGTTGCACAGGCTCATCAATAGCACAGCCGTTCACCTGCGTCGGATTGCTGGAACTGAAATTAAACAATACCGCCTACAGAGGAGAAGAAACGGGAAAATAGATAATTGATGAATGGGTAAGAAGTGAAATGAAAACTTAAAAAATAAATTGATTTCAAACCCCCACTTACCTCCTGCCCACTGATTTCAATTTTGCAATGCTGTTTTGACACGACAGGGAGCTGGATACGAATGTCACATTCAATACCCCTTCATCGAAAGAAATTAAGAGTTTTAGGCCACTTTAATTTTTTTTTTTTTTTTTAGAAATTCCATGAATGCTTTGAAATAAAACAGCATTTGACTACATGGTTGATCCATTAATGAAACGACAGAAAGGGAAAATAACCTGGGTGACAAGAGGACCTGTGCATTTTGCAAACAATTTTGACAAGTATCATATAAGCGACCATTTTAAATCTTTAAAACTTCGGGTACTAGAAAACGATTACAATGGAAAATATTAGAATACAAAACTGGATTGCCTTTTTACAGAAATGCCTATGCTTATAAAAGTACCCAAATCAGGGAGTACTTTATACCAGTTTGGAGAAATGAATGGATTGTTGATACTCTGTACATTTTTTCCTATAAAGAAAGGTTCATGTGTGTTCATTTGTAATGTTATGTACGTTTAAAGGTTTATTCATCACTACACATGCTGTATTTTATGCTAACACCTGTCTATGCAGCAGCCTCTTCACATACAAAGACAATTACATCAGCACCTGTATCGTGGTGTTGTTCAAACAGTGAATGAATTATACATGCCTGCCGTTCGCCTGGCACACAGTCAGTGCCATGTACTCATGAGCTTTTGGTTGTTTTAAAACTACACTGTTTTAATGGACAGATTCACAAATCTGTTATTAAAAACACGAATGCAAGCAACGAATAAGCATTATTAGATTCGACTTGCCTCCCACACAAACAACATCAGCAGGAAGCACCAGAAGGGAGAATTTCCAAACCCATGTGCAAAACTAATCAAAAGTTATTTAAGTTTCCTTAAGTTAAGTTTTCCTTAAGTTTCCTTAGGTCTCTGGTGTTACCTTTACTGTAAGTCTAAACAGTTATATACTCTCCTCTCCGTTCTCAATATACTATTCTAGAGCTACAAATATCTCTTTCTAGAACATATATAAAAGATGCAGTGGCTTAAAATAATTGTAGAACTGGAGGGCTCCCAAGGGCTGATAGACTCGGTCTGTGTGAGTGTGAGTGTGTGGTAAGTTTCTTTCCCTACGTGTTGCACAGTGTTCTTAGCCTTAGTGAACAAACAGCTTTAGGGGTTGCAGCCTAGGATGGCGAGTAGATGGAAAAGGACAAAGCAGTATATTGGTAGCTGTAGACAGAGCAGTGCTAGCTCTGTCTGTCCATAGAAATAGAGAAATGGGCTCAGCCACAGAGATTTAAACTATCTGGTTGTCCCACACATTAACACAAAGTGGGGTTCAGATACACACTTGTATTTTGTTTTATGGTCTCCCAGCCTTTCCAGCCTGGGCACTTTTGGACAAAACTTCATCCTCCTTTGAGGTTTCGTTGTCCAATCTTTATTTCTCTACTTGCCTCATTCCATCTCTGAGCTTTGCAGGTAGCCAGATGTGATTTAAAACTTCCGTTCTAAGGGGTTTCCTGTCATGGAGTCATTGGTTTGCAGGAGTAAGTCATGCTCTTTCTCTAAAGGGGTGTGGGGGTGGTCATCAACAAGATTAGCTAAACTTAAGTTGGTAGAAGAATTTCTTGATTGGAAATTTTAGCTTTGAGATTTGTTGCTCTAGTTCCTAAAAGAACTTGGAGATGCTCCTCATGTGTCCGGCTACCACTCTGACTCCTTGGAACCCACCCATTCTTTCACTTTAAAAAACAGGTCATAGTTGCAGAGGTCTCTGTATTTTGTAGCCGCTTTTTTGTAAGAAGTGCTTCTCCCAAATAAAACAATTAAAAAAAATTAAAAAGAATATCTCTTTCTACCATGTCCTGTGACCAAACACTCTTGAATGGGTTTTAAATGATAAAATTCTGCATAAAAAGATATTTAATCACTGCTGTATAATAACCAGAATTACTGACACTTGACACCAAAATGTTTATTCTTTTTCCTTGGATGAGAAAAGAAGCTATGGGAACTGAACGGCTCATTTAAACTAAAGAAGAGAATTTGATTTTTAGGCAACAGAATATTCCAGCAAGAGGGAGAGACTATTGCATTAGAACTGAGAATTTGTGCGCCTGCGAACTGCCAACTAGAACCCCTATGGACCCATGGTTCTTCACCTCAGCACTATTGACATTCTTTACAGTAGGAGCTGTTCTGTACATTGTAGGCTCCTTAGCAGCATCCCCGATCTCTATTCACTGATGCCAGTGGTGTAAGCTTCCCACATTGTGACATAGAAAAATGTCTCCAGACCTTGCCAGATGGCTCCTGCAGGGCAAAATAACCCTAGGCTGAGAACCATTGCTCTTCATGATTCCACATTCAACCCCAAGCATCTACTAGACACAGTCAACTACTGATCACCTCTTACTGTCAGACCCGTACCAGGCACTGAGTACATAATTATGAACCAGACAGTCCCTGTCCTTAGACAGCCCTGTAGTGGGGAGACACAACCAAAGACTCATCACCCTGCACGTTGTTAGGAAAGACAAGAGCAGTGTCCACCAAAGGTTTCCCTTTAGGTGCTCTCTAATTGGATATCTGAAAGTTGGAAAGGTCTCACTCACATAGGATAGAGAAAACGTTCCAGTCATAAGGTTTAAACTGGCTAAAAGCACCAAGATGAGCAAAAGCTTGGAATGTCTGAGTTAAGGAAGGTAGAACATGGTAGAGATGGGAGGATGGGGTGTGGGTAGAAGGTGGTCGGGGTCCCTCCTCACAGGGCTCCAGAGAGGGGGTGACTTATAATTTGTATGAGAAATCACATGTTAGAAACCGGGAGGAGGGTGCCTGTTATACAGGGACCCTGGTCATTGACCAACACCGACACAGGCCGGCAAAAAGAAAGAAGTTCTCGAAAACACTCCAGCAGGACTTCTATTTTCATTTTTCCAAAAACCCAACAAGCCAAATACACAGCCCCCTTCCCTCGTTTGCTCAGCAGCGTCCCCCCATAGCCAAGGTGCATCAAGCTTGAAGGGGTTTCAGATGAACCCCAACTAAAGAATGCCTGAAGTGAATCAGGATTTGAGAATAATCTACATTTTTCTCCATTTAAAGATTTTATCAAATCAATTTTAAAATGTGTTTGATTAAAAAAAAAACCACTTAACCATATACACATTGTTTTAAAAATTCTATTTCCTAATAAACAACTATGTTGATTAATAGATAAGAAAGTCCCCAACAGTCTGTTAATCTGTGATTAGGATATTAACGTCTTTTTTTAATAAATATTTTATATATATATTTTTTTATTGTTTTGGATATTAACTCTTTTATACTAAATGGTCCACCCCTATGCCGGGCTCACCTTCCAAACAAGCAGGTGCTGAGGCTCAGCGGGAAGTGAGGGCCATCGACCCCACTCCTTTTGATGGTAACCAGGCGTCCTGTAGGACCCATTTTCTAAACAAGATGTTGAGTATGATCCAAACAGGAAGGTCAGGCATCAAAAAAGTTCGCTGAAGCAAACTTACTGCAGAAACATGCCACTGAATAAGACAAAAACAAAACACGCGCGCGGGTGGGGGGGGGAAGGGGAGAGTTACTCTAAAAGCAAAGAGCTAGGAAGTCACTTGTAAGTCACCAAATGGGCTCGCTTGTGCCATTCTCCATGCTCCTGCCACCCTGACCCACACTCAACTTGACCCCTAGGGGAGCCCCAGCCGGGCCCCGGGCTGCACTCCAGGCGCCCACAACACCCAGTGCCCCCAAAGACCCGCGGCCAGGACCCTGCGCATCACCGTCGAGGCTCCCGGGAGCTCCCCTGCGGACCCCCGGGTCAGAGCCCCAGCCGCGCCGCCGCCACCGGTTCCCGTCGAGCAGGCGTCCCCACGGCCCCGGCCCCCGGGCGCGCCCGCCTCCCCCGCCCCCGCGGCGCCCCAGCATCGGCTCACCCAGGACCAGTCGCCCGCACCGCCACCAGCGGATCCGCCGCTCCGCGAGACGCAAACCCGAGTCCTCACCGGGGAAAGCCAGCTGCTCGTTCCCCGGCGTCCACCGCCCGCCCCCTGCTCCGGGGACGGGGACCGCCCGCGGCCACCTCCGCCGCAGCCCTCACTCCCCCCCGCCGTCGCCCTCGCCGGCGACCAGGTGGCCCGGCCCAGCTGCGTCCGGGAGGTGGCGGCGTTAGCAGGTCCGCGCGTAAACCCGCCGCCGCCCGCCCGCCGCCGCCGCAGCCGCCGTGCCCTCCCGATTCAAATGAAAACAACGATTCGAATTTGGCGCTAAGCGCTGTGATTGGGCGCGGCGGCGGGCGGCTGACCAATGGGAAGGGGCGGGGGCGGGGCGGGGGCGTGGCTAGCGCGGCGCGTGCGCGCTCCTGGAGCCAGGAGGGCGGGGGGGGGGGGGCTGCGTGTGCACCTGCGCGACCCGGGTCCTCCCGGACCGTGTCCTGGTCTCCCTGCGGCAAGCCCCTCTTGTCGCCTTCCGTTTAAGGACAAACACAGTTGTACACGGTCTGTTTGTTACTCGTTGCCGGAAGGTTTAAAAATTGTGACGGCTTCCTGTATTGCCTCAAATATAACAATTATTATAAGCAATTTCTTGTTGTGCATGTTATGGTTCCCTTTCAAACACACACACACACACACACACACACACACACACACACACTAAAAAGATCATGACCTGCACATTGTTCTGGACTTTGCATTCTTTGCTTAATTAATCCTGTGGATGTTAACTTCCAGCATAACCTTCCCTTTTACTTTCTTTTTGATGGCTGCAGAGCATTCGGCTTCAGAAACCATAATTTCAAAAAAAGAAAGAAAGAAAGAAAGAAAGAAAGAAAGAGAGAGAGAGAGAGAGAAAGAAAGAAAGAAAGAAAGAAAGAAAGAAAGAAAGAAAGAAAGAAAGAAAGAAAGAAAGAAAGAAAGAAAGAAAGAAAGAAAGAAAGAAACTATAATTTCCTCAATCGCTATTATTGCTATGCGTTTAGGTTTAGGGTGTTTTCCTATTAGAAAAAAAAATAATCTCCAATTTAAAAAGCTTGTACATTACAAAATGGATGGTATGTAAAATAAGCACAGCATTTCTTTCTAGGGCCACCTGCCCGGTTAGGGGTGCCCCTGTGGACAAACATGGTGTGAACTGAATAGAGCCAGGAGACCCGGATGCCCATCCTGAATGTCACCTCCCCTCCCACGTCACCGTCACCGGACAACCCATGGAGCTGCCTTTCTCACAGCATGGACTGGGGAGCCCTGAGGGTGTCTGAGATCCTTGCAGGGGGTTCAGGAGGTCAAAACCATGTTTGTAAGAACATCAGACTTTCTTTGTCCTTTTCACTGTCATTTGCTCAGGAGCAAAGGGTGGAGTTTTCCAAATACAGGAGCAAATGTGAGAAACCAGCTGTCTCACTAAATCAGGTGCTACAGATATTTGCAAAAATAGAAAAAAATACCGTTCTTCTCAGTAATTAAAAAATAAGATAGATGTATTTCATAGAAATATGTTTTTATGTTAACAGGAAGTGGGTTCACCATTGCTTTAAGATGAATCGACAAATGAAGTTTGAACCTTTCTGCTCCTGAGTGCTCACTCAGTGATAGGCTGCCTTCCGGAATAAGGGAAAGCTCCTAGGAACGAGATATGAATGCATAGGACCTCCAACTCCTAATTGTCTGTGACAAGGCTGATGTAGGTAATTTAAATGCGTGGATGCTATTAACCTTCTTTAGGGGATTAGTTTCTATTTTCTCCCCCTTTACACCACCACAGCGAGCGCCTCTCCGAACAACCCCATAAAATGCTACTTTTGTCACTCTAATTACTGCTTGTTATCAGGGACGGCTCTGTGACCTTGCTGGAGCAGCCTAATTAGAACTGGGAGGTGCTAGGCTTCCTGTCAAATAATCTTACACGCACATGCAGTACATGGAATTAGTTCTCTAGAGAGAGCAAGAGTTACAGGAAGACCTAGGGGGTTGGCCAAGTGGTGGATCTCGGCCTGCGGGACCACCCTCTGTAAACTGTTGGATGGAACAGGTTAGCAGTGGGGCTTTCTGCTGGATTCGAAGCCTGGCCCACAACCTAAGACTTCACTGAAAACACAGACCTCAGTCCTGCGAGGAGCATCCCATGCCCCGTGTGCAGGGCTGGCATTGGACCCCCAGTTCCAGCACAATCAGAGTCTCAAACAGAGTGTAGAATGGGGATCCTGTTAGAACAACGGGCACTCAAGATGGGCAAGAAAAGGCTTTGGCCTGAGGAATTTTCAGGGAATCTATTTCCGGATCCTCACAGTCCTCACCCACTCATGTCCAAACCAATCCAGGCCAGAAAGTGTCTCTAGGGGACTTCCCTGCCCCCACCCCCCTGCCCCTTGCCACTTTGACTTGCCTGAAATTTACTTGGGGAATTGCACCAGGCCCCCAATAATGGACCATTCAGCAATCCCCTTAACCTCTGTGCCCATCCACCTGATTAGAGGGTGTGTTTCCAATAAATGGAGCATATGTTTAACTCCTGCCAGGACCTAACAGGTCCCACGTGCCCTTGGACCTCCTGCCTCTTTGGCTATCTTGTTCCCAGTCCACTGCAGCGCCCTAGCCACCTGAGCTCCTCCTTCCTCAGAGGTGCCCAGATCCTTCCAGCCAGAGGGCTGTGGATTTTGTCCCTCCCTCCCCCAACTTTTATGGGGGCGGGAAGAGGAAGTGAGCTTTGCAGAGTGGATGAACCACTCCCAAAGCAGTGGGTTGAAGAATCAGCCTGGAGAGGAATCTTCCTGGATGTGCCCAGACGAGTGAAGACATGCTCCAGCCAAGGGGGCTTTTCAACATCAACCGCAGGTACTCACACTTGACTAACCGGAGGAAAGGGGAACCAGAACGCTGATCTCTACTCTGAATTTAGAAAAAAGAAACTGGGACAGAACATGGGACTGAAAAACATGAAAGAAATATTGAAAAACTTTTTTTATTAAGAAGCTAATCCTATAATGATGTCATTATAGAATACTTGGAAAATATACAAGTGTAGGAGGAAGAGAAACTTACCCCAATATGAACAAAGAAATCATGTTTTTTGTCTGATGTTTATTTTGCATAATAAATATATCTGTGTACACAGATAACATTTTATTTCTTAGGCTTTCATTTATTGCTACCACGTAAGCATTTTCTCATTTATTCTTGGTGAGTATCACCTGGATAACCCTTTTTCAACTGTGTTTCAACATTTAGGTTTTTTCCCCCCTAACTTTTAATTATTACAAATAATGCTGTGATTAATATCTGGAGCAGAAACCTTGTTTAGACATAACAGATGATGTTCTTAGTTTCTATCTCCCAAAATCTACTTGCTGGATCAAATAATATTTGCTTCATATCCTCTAACTGCCTGCTTGTCAAAGGGTTATAACAATTTATCCACCCAAATCAGTGCTTGAGAAAGCCTGTATTATCACAGGCTCCTTGCATTCACATTTCAAATTCTCTGCTAACTTGATAAGCCAAAGACATCCAATTCGAACTTTAAAATTGCTAGTTAGATTGAACACTTTTCCTCACCTACTTAAACTTTTCATCTTTTTGGCTTTAGGGCAATAGTGTTTTTGTGCCCTTTCCCTAATTTTCTGTTAATGTCCTAGGGTTTTCCTTATGGATTTCTTTCACAAATATGTAAATTCTTGCTCTGCAGAATTAGTAGAATTTTTTTTGAATTAGTAGAATTTTTAAAGCCAGCCATAAAGCCAAAGAATATTTATGGCCAGTTGTTGGATTCCTTAGATAAAGGTGTGTAAAGAATAAAACTCTCTAGCTGTCTGAGAAAGTTCTATGTGTGGCTGACATACATGGTGGGGCAGGGGGAGCTGGGATTAACACAACAGCCATTGTCAGAGGTGAGTCCAAAGCTCACGGTGAAACCCCAGCCCTACAGGAGTAGTAGTACTGGGAACCCAAGGAACAGAGAAAGGAATTGTAGTGGGATCATAACAAAAGAGAGAATTACTTCCCTAGAAAATAATGAAAGCACACCAGGAAGTTAGGCTCATGGAGTAAAGAGATGGGCATGCCATGGGGTGAAGAGACGTCATGTGGGTCATGGAAAAACAAGACGGGACGCATGGCTGTGGTGCCCTCGCCTGACTTGGAGAAACTCCTGGGGATAAGCTTCAAATAACTGAAGACTGAGACGCATTTCATCAGTTTCAGTGCTGAGTATTAAATGTAAATTCAAATGCAGAACTAAGAGTAAATGACAGTTTGAAGAAAGGGGCTACTTCATATAGCGGGGATCTGCTGACGATAGAGGCAGAGCACAGGCGGGTAGAGGGAGAGTTGGATGAAAAATAGTCTGCTCCCTGCTGACTTTTTAGGTATCAACTCTGAGTAAAAGAATGTTCTTTCAAATTAAATATTGTGACAGAGAAGGTGTTAGCTGATTTTCAAGAATGCCCATATTAGGAGCGCCTGGGGGGCTCCATCTGTGAAGTGTCTGCCTTCGGCCCAGGTCATGATCCCGGGGTTCTGGGATCGAGCCCCATGTTGAGCTCCCTTGCTTGATGGGAAGCCTGCTTCTCCTTCTCCTTCTGTCCCTACCCCAGCTTGTGCACTCATGCTCTCACTCTCTCTCCCAAATAAATAATTTCTTTTAAAAAAAAGAAAGAATTTCCATATTAAGGAACCAATGGACTAAAAAAGAAGAGACTAAGGAATTATATAAAGGCTTTAACATAAGTGTAACTGTCAGACCCTCGCTGCCAAAGTGCTTAAATACCCAAATACGCAGAAAAGAGAGTTAGAGAGCCCAGACCACACAGTGAAAGACCATACAGCTGTGTCTGTTACCTTTAAACATACAACAAAATTGGCATAAAATATATCAACTGATTCAATATTAAATGGCCTTAATTAACCTATTAAAACAAAAAGATTTTAATGTTTCCATACACTGCTTTGGAATGACTGCCTCCAAACATTTTCAAATGCAAAAGATAAAGTGGAAAAAAGTTATGGGCAGCATGCAATGTTTATCTAAGAAATGGGCTCATGGATATGCATGTATATTTGCCTTTATTAAAAAGAAACAAACAAAAAAAGAAAAAAAAGAAACATCAGAAAGACAAGCCATATAATGTAAAAATGATGGGGAAGGGACAGGGAGAGAAGCTAACTTCTCTGAACCCATCTTCTTTAATAGATTT